GAATTGTTATTTTTTAGATGATGAATTGAACGAATTTATTAAAATGTAAACATTCTGCTTTATATAGTTGACACATTTTCAGTGACGTATTAAATCAAAATTTATTATCATTTTTAAATGGGTCTATTATATTATTTATGGGAGAGACACTTTTATACGAGAATTGAGCTATATTTTCATCTTGAATTCTCCTCTCGAAAAACTTGAATAAGAAATACTAATTAAGAAAAATGAGTAGTTTTTCTAAAAACAAACAAATGTCTTCTCAATCCAACTAAAGAATTTATCCGCCTCATTTCGCCCACTTGAAAATTTTTTACTGCAACGAATAAAAACCATAAAATAAAGAATTTTATTTGATTGAAATGCGCAATTCGCTCGTTCGACTAAATTCCAGTTAAACTCCCCTGAAAGACGACAGTAAAAATCAGACGATATTTTGATTTTTATTAGAATGTTCGGTACACAGCGCACATGTAATTTTACGAGGGAGAGAGATCGATAAATCTCATTCGAAGAGCGGCTAAAACAGGCAGCAGGGGGGGAACAGAAGCAATGGGGGTGGGAGGCCATTCACAAGGCAAAAATGTAACGCTCAGTATGACGTATCGATTTGCAAGGGGCCCACTTTCCCTTCTTTTTCCGACGACAACTCGGTCTCATCGAGTACACAGTCCCGCACCGAATATACCGCACTCGATTACCCCCGGGGTGGAATTTATATCCAGATATTTCCCATCCACTTCCTGCGCAGTGAGATAAGATTGCTTGATTCATTGGGCTTCAGTACTTTAATTACGCGATTCGGTGATATATCGGTGGAGAATCGTTGCGGAGAGTGAATATTCTTGAATTGACGATGAGGGGAAAGTCGAGAGAACAATGTTATTTCGATAGTAATGAAACAATTACATAAATTGATGAAAAAAGAAGACCTTATGTATAGTCTAAACCAATTAATATATGAAATTGAAAGAAAATCCTATTTTTTTCTATGGATTAAGAACATTTTATTCTAAAAAAATTTTTATTGTCAAATGTTGAATTTTTAAAAAAAATTTTATTCACTGAATTTTTCAAGTGGAATCTCTCGAAATATTCAACAATTGACATGAAATTTCAATAAATTTTAGTACTGAAACACCAATTTGTTCTGCTAACTGTTATTGAAAATAAATTGCTGAATATTACGGAAATTCAATGGATAACTATATCCCGTTTTCAATGCATTTGAAATTCATTCCACTTAATGATGTTTTTGTAAAATTTATGGGAATTTAATGCCACATTAACGATCATTGCTAATGTAAAGTGTTAGTAATGTCTCGAACTTTCGAATTCGAGATAAATTAATACATTCAATTGGAATTGAAAGAAGACCCTATTTTTCCGTGGAATCTCTCGAAATATTCAATAACAATTGACATGAAATTTCAATAAATTTCAGTACTGAAACATCAATTTGTTCGGCTAACTGTTATTAAAAATGAATTACTGAAAATTACGGAAATTCAATCGATAATTATATCCCATTTTCAATGCATTTGACATTAGGGCAATGCCCTTAATGATGTTTTTGTGAAATTTATGGGAATTTAATGCCACATTAACGATCATTGCTCATGCAAAGTGTTAGTAATGTCTCGAACTTTCGAATTCGAGATAAATTAATACATTCAATTGGAATTGAAAGAAGACCCTATTTTTCCGTGGAATCTCTCGAAATATTCAATAACAATTGACATGAAATTTCAATAAATTTCAGTACTGAAACATCAATTTGTTCGGCTAACTGTTATTAAAAATGAATTACTGAAAATTACGGAAATTCAATCGATAATTATATCCCATTTTCAATGCATTTGACATTAGGGCAATGCCCTTAATGATGTTTTTGTGAAATTTATGGAAATTTAATGCCACATTAACAGTCATTCCCCATGTAAAGTGTTAATAATGTCTTGAACTTTCGAATTCATTTGTAAAATTAAACACCTCGTTTGCTTAATTCTCCAGTTTGCTATCATCGCATCAAATACAAATTCAAATTTTCATCGGCATTGGAAAACCCATTAAAACTCATTAAAAAACGTTAGAAATAGTGAATTTCTAAAAACATCAGGGATGTTAACCCGAAATATCGTGACGAAAACCTCTATCAACGCACCCACTACCCCGTAAACACGCGTCCAAGATATTATCGTCCTCTCAACTCCCGAAATACCACCTCAGGGCATCAAGTCCTCCCCTTATTTTTCCCCATCTCCCCAGTAATCCAACAATAATCGATGAAGAGATTATCCCACGGATTCGTCAACATCCCGGCGTCTACTGTTACATGCACCATGAATTTTTCCAAACATGCGCAACGTAATCAATAATCCCCGTAAAATGCAAACATCCTCCTCCGCCCCCAGGACCCCTCCCCCAACAAAACCCACGAGGATGAAAAAACGGTAAATCCCGGACTAGGAGAGACTTAAAAACTGCATAAAGAGAAAAAGTTTTAGTTTTTTAGAAATTTAGAAGAAAATAAAAGGTTTGGAAGAATAATTCTTTGGGGGGTGAATGATAATGTATTTTTGGCTTTAATTTGAGAATAAAATGTTCCAGAAAATCAACTGGGTTTTGCGTTTCTGCAGTTTTTTAGAAATTTAGAAGAAAAGAAAAAGTTTGGCAGAATAATTCGTTGGGGGGGTGAATGATAGTGTATTTTTGACTTTAATTTGAGAATAAAAAGTTCCATAAAATCAACTGGGTGTTGCGTTTTTGCAGTTTTTGGAAATTTTTATTTTGTTGTAATTTCACTAAATAGTGAAACTCACTTGAATTTTTATTACATTATAATTTCAAGGATTTTTGCGATTGAAAATTCAAGATTTCATGGGAAAATCACTGGAAGCTGCAACCTCTAATGCAATTATTTAATGAAAATTGACAGAAATCAGGAGAATATTGGTAAATGTATTCTTGAAATTACAATTAATTGAAAAAAAAATTGTCTAGCATTAAAAAAAATTATTTTCATAGAAAAAACATAAAAAACGTATTTCTAAAAACTAAAAAAAATTCTAGATTCCAGAAAAATGCATTATAAATAAATTTTGGCTGTCATTTTCGTCTGAAAATCTGTATCACATTGTAATTTCGCTAAAATTTACGGAAAAACATCAGAAACCCAAATTTTAATTTAATTATTCCGTGAAAATTTATAGAAATCAGGAAAATTCGGGTGAATATGTTTTTGAATTTTCACTTAATTAAAAAAATCACCAAAAAAAGCATAATCGTTTTCAATTTATTGAAAAACATTTAAAAAGCTTGAAAAATTGCATTTCGATTTTGAATTAATAGAAATTTGAGTGATTAATCGCAAAAATTTTTACCTAAAAGCTAAAAAAATCTAGATTCTACAAAACTGCACTTTAGAAAAAATGGTTTCCAGAATTCTGAAAATTCTATCTCTTTGTATGATAACCGGTGATAACACCAAGAGTAATTTCATCCAAGAGGTTATGCCCGTATCTGGGGCAATTCCCCTTTGAATCTTGATGTTTCCACTTGCGTTTTTCACCGCCCGAAACAAAGAGTGACATTTTAAAAGAACAAAGAGACGGACAGATCGATGGGCATAAACGGTGGACTCGTTGACCCGGAATTCACTTCGTGTTTATAATTTTCGTCAGACCCAGTAAACCACGTTCTCCCGGTTGCGTAAACCCCGCGTAGCGCTGCAACTCGCTAAACAATTCATCCGCTCAAAACCAAAAACATTTTAAAAAATCCGACTCACTCAATCCCGTGTGCCCCAGCGAGCGCAAGTCCAGGAAGGACCAAGTCATCGCTTCCAGTGCGCCAACGTCTCCCAAAAGCCACGAGACCCGGCATTGTCAAGCCGCAAGATGCAAACGCAGATGCACTCAGATTTCCAAACACAATAGTATTTAATCTTCAAACCGCAGTGGCACGCATGCATGTGCGTTAATGCACGAGTGTTCGTAGGAAATGCACCCACGTGGACTCGTATAACTGGTGTCCAGTGGGCGTTTCTCGTGAATAAATCTCTTGTTTACGTCTTTTCGCTGGTATATTCTTCGGTTAATACCGTTGAATACCCACGAAACGCGTGAAACCTGAGCTTTATAATAAGGGGCACACCGAAAATAATGCCCGCGGCGTTCGAAATTACACCTGTCGGCGATAAGTGATTGCTTGGGGGATGGGGAAGGGATAATTTCGACGAATTATTGTCACAATATCGCACGCGGGAAAATTCAGGAAACGGTTTTGCAAAGTTTTTGGAAACGATATTTGCGTCCGAATGGATTTCTGAGCTGATGAATATTTTTTACAACTCTCTGGAAAAAAAGACGCAGATTTCGAGGCCAAGCGTTCACCGCTTCGCTGCTGACATCACATTTAAGAATATCAGGAATACTTAAAAACCAAAATATGAAAAAATTGATTTTTTCGTATTTTCATTTTCAATGGGCTGTTTAATTATAAATCAAAAACACGGAAGTGTTTATAGTTTAGAGAACTCGAATTAAAAGATTTCGACGGCTTCAATGCAACGAATTTAATGCGATGCGCTTCCAAAGATTTAATAACCCAAAAAATTAATCAAAACCTCACACAGATGAAGATCATGATTTTAAAAAATCAAAAAATGAATGATCATCGTGAAAAAATATAATGAGGAGAATCACAAATCCCCATTAAAATGAAAAACCGATTTATTCATAATTCAGCAAACTCCAAGACAACTTCAATCAAACAATTCCGATCACTTCAATAAACCGAATTTAATACGACGCGCTAGAGCCCCACAAAATCCTCAACTCTAAACAAACTTAACCCGAAAAATGATTGAAAACATTGTATCACAAAACTGAATGACAATCCTGAAAAAATCATGACAGGATAAATCACAAATCCCCATTAGAACGATCCCATCTCTCTCGCGAAATTCCTCCGTATCAATTCAATCAATTACTCACCAAATGAGATGAAGAACGAGAAGAAAAGCACCGGGCACAACGAGATCGTCGCTTCCGACGCTCCATCTTCTTCGGAACACCACAATACCCGGCATCCTTCACATCCAGCCCAATTAGCGCTGATCAATTACAAATAAATCCTCAATACTGCGTAAACCCCGTCGCTCTGGGGTCGTCATCGCGATCCCCCACGATCACCGGGTTTAACCCTGACGATTATCATCGTCTAGAGCCCACCAAAACCCTATCCTCACACCGCCAGCATTCCCGAGCCTCTTGCAAATGTAATTCCAGTTGTCGCGAGTTTAATTCCTCTTTCGTCTCCATCCACTGATGCGAGCTCACACGATTTCACACGTGAGTGGGCACGAGTTTTCGTCGTCCTCTGTTCTTCAAACCTACTTTAACAACTGTAAATCTCAACATCGGGCGGATAATTACTGCCCCAGCAGTGCAGCAGAGTCAATTAATATCCATTATCGTTTGTTTATCCGAGATCCCAGTTACATCACTTTAATTAAAGTCTACCCTTTTTCCTCTCCTGGAGCCACTCGTGTCTCAATGGTTTTGCGAATACTCTCCCTTTGGTTTTCATTATTCAATTGGCCACTTATTTCCACTCAAAGAACGCTCGTTTAATTATCGAGAGAAGCGATTAACATCGTTTGCGATTAAAAACTCAGAGGAAACGTTTTGTTAATTTGAAATTGTTCAGGCAATTGCTCATGAGGAACTGCTCTTTTCGGGGGGTGAGGGAGTCCTCGGGGGTGTCACGTGCTAATGTCACTCGGCGATTAAAGCCCTCTCAGGTGGATTTCAGAAAGGGCAAAGTGAAAAAATGAACATTCTATTTTCATGGCCCGCGAGGCAATACCACCTCGAGCGCACTGACGCTCATACCAGTGGGAATAATTTCCTCTTCGGGGTGCCAGGACGGCGTCGGCGTCTGACGCCTTCAGCGCCTGCGTACATCAATCTCATCGCGAACAACATCTGAATGAAGATGTACAAGTAACAGCATTTTTTTTTTCACTCTTTTTGCGCGTTTCTCATTTTGCTTTCCCAATGTGGGAAAAAGTAAATGAGAACTTGGAAATGGGGCCGATGGGCTGGACTCGATTGGGGGATGCTTTCCATCCTTCACCCCAAAAAGCCACCGCTATTTATATTGACAATCGATAATTGAATTATACTGGTTGATTAATCGTTCATTGGATTGTTAAAGTAGCGAGATTAAATGAATTTTATTTTTTATTTCTTGGGGAGGGCATCGCGTGCTTATTCCCTTGGTAATATGTGGAACAATTTTCTTGGGCTCCTGTGAACAGCCAGGGTAAACTAGTTTATGGACAATTATTATTTCCAACCCTTCTGGCTTAATCAGGGTGTTGTTAATGGTAATTGGAATCGAAATATCAGATGATAAATATCACGTGGATTAGGAGCGTGATTTGAGAAATTATTGTGGGGGGGTAGCTAGTTCGGATTAAAAGGGAAAACTGATTTATTCATTTGGGAATTTTTAGTCAGTTGTCTAATTGGACTACTCCAATTCTGACAATTCCCAGTCATCGACTTTAAACGAATTTGAGAATGTGAAAATTTTAATATTTATGAGATGGGACTTTTTAGATTATGATGTTTAGCCTTTTATCGATGATAATTTGTTGTGTATTGAATTGAAGAAAAATTAAATTAATTCGATTTAATTTAATTCAAGAAAAAATGGGAAAATTAAGACATTGTATGAATTGGGAGATAGCCTAGTCTAACATGAATTTTCAGATACCCTTGTTTTTAAAAATAAAATTGAAATGCTATTGTCTAAGTGAAAGTAAGAGACGATCGTACATGAAGATAATTGAGAGGGAGGAAAAGAACAGATACGTGACGATATATTAATTTCCAATTAGTTGTCTAATTGCGAAGAAAAAACACGGAAGTGTTTGTAATCTAGAGAACTTAACAGTTCAGGCGACTTGAATAACTCGTCAGCTCAGTGAAATTTAATAACGTCGCCAAGTTGATAATCATCAAATATGATATTTATATCGTGATATTTCCCATGTGATATTTCGTCGATGGTAATTTCTCGCGTTTCAGTTTCTTGCTTGGTGGTAGTTCTCAATGTACCAGTTGACAGTCTCTTTTATCGCCTCGTCGAAAGGTGTGAATTTAAAATCGGGCAGATGACTTCTCAATTTTTTGTTACTCGCGGTTTTCTTGTGTTGTCCATCGGAGGCACTTGTGTCGAAGACTATTTTACCTCGAAAGCCGAAAGCTTTTGATATCGTCTCGGCTGCGTGAGCTATCGTCACCTCGTCGGTCTCGTCCACTTGAAAGAAGTTATGAGTTGAGTTGATGTGTGTGCGAATGTCATTTCAATTTGGGTTCAGTACCTGATAGGATAATTGGCTCGGGGGAGTTGTAGGCACGGAGGACCCAGATGAATAGCTTCGCTAAGTCTAGACTGTAGATGAACTGACGAAGGGGCTTGCCGGTCCCTAGTACTGTGAAGACTTTTTCGTCTGTGTTGCCTGCAATTGGATTAATGGGATTGTTAACGAAGGATTTCGGTGGTCGGCATCTGAGTGGAAAGGACCAGCGGTTGATTTCATGCTGAATTTTTTTGGGGTCTTTGGAAGCTCGGAGATTCACGGAGGAAAAAAATTCAGAGAAAACGAATTTGAGGGGAAATTTTATTAGATTTCTGTTGAACTTCTGCTGAAAATTCTTGAAGTGTGGGACCAATTCTGGTAAAGAATTCCGCAACTTTATTGCGCTTTTTTTAATAGAAAATGTCTAATAGAAAATACTTCATAGGAAAAATCACGGAATTTTATATTTCGGACTTTTTCTGTTGAAACAGTTTTCATAAGAATGCCTCGATATGGATTTCCCAAGTTTTTCCACTCCATTTTGCTTGTCATTTCAATAAAAGAATTTTAAAAAATAATTTTTTTAATTCTCAAAAGAATTCTTCAAAGAAAGAATTTTTTAATTCTTTTAAAAATTAAATATTTTGTAGAATTTTAAAGAATTTTTGGAATTCTTTTAAGAATTAAAAAAAATAGAAGAAACAAAAAAATTTAACAAATTTGAGCTTAGTTGTGCAACAAACATAATTAAATTGTTGTTTAATCTTTGTGTGCGGTTTAAAGATGAATAAAATCCCCGCTGCGAGTGCATTCTCAATCGATACAATCCTGGGTAGCCAGTCGTCGACAATATATCGACGGATTACCGCTGTTGGCTACGCTTCAGCCCCATCAACAATCCAATCCAATTAAAACTAATGCAACTGTATACGGATTCGATGCGGTTTGCCTCCGAGATTTCAATAATCCAGTCATCAATGCAGAATATTTAATTCTAGAATTCAGCAATCGGAGGTTGAAAGAGATAATTCAACTCAATTTTAGAACGAGATTTCGATGGACTGTGAAATTTTAATAATGCTGAAAAAACATGCAAAAATTTCATAGAAAGACCTAGAGCTTTCTCTAAAAAAATCCAATTGAATTTATGTTAGAACTCTGTAAGAATTCTCTGGATGTCGTATCGGAATTTTATTAAAAATGTTTACAGCTGTTGATTTTTCTGGTTTTTTCTTGGGATTTTATTAGGACAAAAAAATGAAAATACAGCAGAAAAAACTTGGAAAATTTGCCACCACGAATTTCTATAGAAAAATCAAAATCTCAATCTCCTATAGAAATGGCTTAAAAAATAAATAGAACTCCAATTGAATTTTTATAGGACAGAATTTTTTATAATAGAATTTAATGGAGGATTCACTAGGTTGTTCTCAGGGATAGCCAGATAGGTTAATATCAGGGTTTTAGGGGAAAAAATAATTAAATTTTAGGTTTCACTGAAAACTCAGTAAAATTCCCCAATTTTAAGCAGCTTAAAGTCGAGAATTCCCTAATTTATTTGAATTTCCAATCTAGTATGTATATTCAGTGCCGAATTAAATTGAATTTTCAGTGAAATCTTAAATTTCATCATTTTTTGTGTCACTGTCCTAAAAATTCAAGAATACATTTACCGGAATTTTCTGATTTGCTATTAATTTTCATTTTCAGGGAAAAATAGAACTGAAATTTACAGTTCTCTTTGATTTTTCCACGAAATTCTGAATTTTCAATTACGAAATTCCTCGAAATTCCAGTGGTAATTAAATTCGATAAAAATTTCCAAAAATTGTACTGGAAATTTCATACAAAAATATTCAACTTGTAATTGACTCACCATCCTTGATGATATCATACATCTTGTGCATGAGTCCTGGTATGACATGACCGGATTGAACATTAAAATTGTCATGCGGTCCGAATACGTTGCAGGGAATGACACTAGTATACATTCTTCGGTGCTGCTCGAAGTACCCACGATTAGCGATATCTATGAGTCTCTTAGCATAGCTGTAGCCGTAGTTGGAAGGATGCGGGGGTCCGTTGTGTACCTGAAGCACATCCAATAATTAACATTGAGGGACTCTTCCCCAGCGGAGTGCATGCAGCCATTTCAGTTACCATAGTCTCGTCAATCGGATAAGTCGTCTTATCAGGGAATATACAAGTGGACAAGCAAGACACTACTTTGACGACGTTCGTCTCGTGCGCTGTTTGGAGGACATTGTCGTTCATTAGAAGATTGTTGCGCTGGAAAATAATTGGGGTGACAATTTCATTAAGGGGTGATTGGATGGGCCAGACATATCTTGGAATTCCAATTTTAAACGCTATAGGTCGATCCAAAAATATGAATCTGTTGTAGATTCTGTTTACATCAGGGTATTTTGCGAATTTAGTCTTGTTTTTGATGTTTTTTGATGCATTTCAAGACACAAATTCTTTTTCATCAATTGCAATATCATCAATTGCTCGAATTATTCTGGTTATTCAGTTTTCGTCATTAGAACGGTCTAGTGATGAAGAATGAAGGTCTTATTAAAGGAAATAAAATACAACCTTATTCTCTGTTATTTGAAGAACTGCAATAGTTTACAATGATAAAAAAAATGAAAAGATTTAGTTGATGTTAAGTATTAACGAATGAGGTGAATAGTTTAGAAACCGTAAGAATACATGTTATTTTGCGAATTTAGTCTTGTTTGTGATGTTTTTGATGCACTTGAGGACACAAATTTCCTTTCTAAATATCATCTATTCCTCGAAATATTCTAGTTATTCAGTTTTCGTCATTAGAACGGTCTAGCGATGAAGAATGAAGGTCTTATTAAAGGAAATAAAATACAAACTTATTCTCTGTTATTTGAAGAACTGCAATAGTTTACAATGATAAAAAAATGAAAAGATTTAGTTGATGTTAAGTATTAACGAATGAGGTGAATAGTTTAGAAACCGTAAGAATACATGTTATTTTGCGAATTTAGTCTTGTTTGTGATGTTTTTGATGCACATAAGGACACAAATTTCCTTTCTAAATATCATTAATTGCTCGAATTATTCTGGTTATTCAGTTTTCGTCATTAGAACGGTCTAGTGATGAAGAATGAAGGTCTTATTAAAGGAAATAAAATGCAAACTTATTCTCTGTTATTTGAAGAACTGCAATAGTTTACAATGATGGGAAGAATGGAAGAATTTAGTTGCTGTTAATTAGGCTCCCAAATTATTAACACCATTTGTTAACTATTAACAAATATGGTTAACAGTTAAGAAGCCCTAAGAATACATTGAATTCCCAAATTTCGTTAATAAGAAATTGTTTTGAAATAGCAAAAAAATCTGGAAGAGGAGAATAGAAACGTAAAACGGATGAAAACATTGAAATATTTCCATTTAAATTGAAATTCTCAGTTACGTCTTTTCCCTAGAATGTGTCGATTGAAAAACCTTGATAAAAAATAGTTTTGCAATTACCAAAAAATCTAGATTGTGGGACATGTTATGGAAGAGCCCTCCAACCATAGCAGCCAGATGAATCACATGTGTTGGTTTGTATTTATCAAATAGAGCAACAGTGCTTTGTTTATCACTGCAAGAAAAATAATACTGTATAATAAATTGGTCGGGCGGCCTCAAGACGTTTTAGTGAGTGTCATAAAAACAGAGGAAATATGTCAGTACCATTGGAACAATTTTTAATCGCCTCACCATAAATTTGCGTCTTTGGAGCCAACGAAAATCCACTTCTCGTCATCTCTCTTATCAGTTTCAACAATTTTCTCGATGGCTTTGCCGACGAGACCGGTTCCACCCGTTACCAGAATAACTTTTTCACCCATAGTTCAGTTATCTGTAATTGAATTTCGATATTTATTATTGAATTACACTGGCTGGAGGTTATATGTGAGCTACCAATGCGATGGAGAGAGTTAATTTGTAACGAAAACCGAGAGCTTGGGCAATCGATAGCGACTGATAACAATATTTCCAGATTTTTCCGGGTGCTTTTGAGCCTATTCTACTGTTCGTGAACAAATGAAATTGAAAATGTTGCGGAGGGGTGTTGTGGTTTTTAAAAAATACTAGTGGCATCTGGAGCTGATCTTCGTGCGCTCCGAAAAATCATTTCGGAGCAGGTTGGAGGAAGAGTGACGGAAATTGTCGAGGGACTGTTCGTCTCTCTTCATTCAGACACTGATGATTTTTTTAATCATTTGGGCATTCTTTTAGAAATTTGTTAATGCGGTTTTTTATAACAATATAACATAAATAATATAATATAATATAGAATGATATATAATATAATATATATATGATAGTTTATGTTGTTTTTATAATAATATAAACTATCTTATTATAAAAAACACAATTTTTCATTTCCATAAACAATCAATAAAAACGTTTATTTAGGGCTTGTTTTAGCAAAAACATTTGTTTTTGTTTTGAAGGGAAAATTCGAAAGAAAATTATATGAGAGAATTTTGAATGTTTATAAAATAGCCAATTCTATAGAAAATGCCAATAGCTATTATTTTACAGAAAAATTTAGTAGAAATTCATATTTCTATAAAATTCTGCTACAAAATTTGAATATTCTAACTTTTCTACATTTTTTTCTTCTCTCTTCGTTGAAAAAGATGGCAGAAAAAACTGAGAAAATTTGAGGCGGGGAATTTCTATAGAAAATATTTCAACAGAATAAGTTGTGTAGAAAAATCTAATTCTGATGAGCAAGAAAATTAATCGTGTCGGGAATAATCAAACGCCAAAAAAATCTCTTCTATTCTTCCTTTACTAATAAACTCCAAAATGAATAAATAGCAATAATAATAAAATTCATAATCATCCCGAGATAATTAAAACTCAAAAAACAAAACGATAAAAATAATTTACAATGAAGATTCCCAAATTTCTGCAAAAATGAATTCAAAAAACCGAAATGAATGAATGACTAAATGAGCTGTTATAAATGATTAACCGTAAAATATAAAATAAAAATCCCCAAAAAATTAACAATCCCTCGCATTATTCCCCCATTCTTCTAAAAAAAAACTAAAAAAATTGCAGTTGAACCGAAAAATTAAACGAAACCGGGGAAGTAAAGCCGCCAGTGTCCACCGACGGTACTACCTTTTCCTCCGTTTTACATAATACAAAGGGTTAAAAATCCAACGGAGTTAAAAATAATGCCTAGTCCCGGAATTCACAGCTAGTGGCGCTGGGCTCGTGCGGCAAGGCACGATCGATCGTATCCGAGGGGGTGTTGCTTTTTTTCAATATATTTATCATTTCCCTTTCCCCAATTACCGCGAATCCGAATGAATTTTGATGGCGGAGTATTTTTCAACGTCATTTTCCGCCCTTAAAAACCCTATCCCCCGGCTTTCGACGATTTCAAATGACTCCGTTAGTCCCTCACGACTTTCCGCGTTCTTTTCTTTTTGCCGCGAATACTTAAATCATGTAACGATCTGCGCTGCGCACCCGCAGCGTTGCCAGATCGTCTCTCACCTCCCGATCAAATCCTCGACGCTTCGAGTTTGCGGACTCCAATCGGCCGTTTCGAGGGGAATAAATCGGTTAATCCCGGGCAAATAGAATTCTTAAAAATCCCCAGTGCCGCTGTTAAAGCCTGATGGAGTTTTAAATTGAATTTAAACACCTGTCGTTGGGGCATCGAGTGCTCAATCACGGAGACATGGCAACCCTGTAGAACCTTCAGAATCCCTCCGACAGATTCGTCGAAATCAACGCGGGTGTTTTTGTAATTCTCAATCGTGGTGCACCGTGGGTCGGACCGAGGGTACCGAGCTAAAATGGCGTCAACCTAGTGCGGGTATACGCGCTTCCCGGACAGCCAGCAATCGCCCGTGAACCAAACAAAATGCCACGAGCCAAGAGAAACGTAAGTTAATCAACAAATATTTATTTTCATCCACTGTCAGGGCTCGTGATAAATCGCGGGGCGAGAGAGTCCATCCGCCGATGGACTCCGTCACGGTGATATCCGGAAGTTGATTGAAAAAACAAAAAATAATTCTACTCTACGTCGGAAGTCACGCTCTTGTCAATTTTTCGGAAATATAGTTCGCGGTTTTTTGCTCCACTGTCGCATGGTTTCCGGCCCATCGTTCACCCGTTCGTCCACGTTTTTTCGTATCAATCGCTCATTATCGGCGTTAATGCATCTGGGATATTTTTTTTACATCGTTAAACTATTGTTAATAACTAAAGAATGAAGAATGATTGAGTTAATCCGTTGAATCGGATGAATTTTTGCGTTTCGGGTGGCGAAATGACCCCGAAAAATCGCCAGCACCGCTGATTTCTCTCCACATGGCATTTTTCACCGAAACCCAAGTTGAAAAAAAAACAAATTCCACCCCGTTCCCGCCCCTCTGCAGCGCTACGATCTTCGTCTATTTTATTTCTCATCTCTCCGCTCTCAACCCGCCTGTCAGCCAAGCGGTCTCTCGTGTTTTTTTCCCCCCGTTTTTTTTTTGTTGAGTATTTTTTTTTGCACTGGGGATCCCTTCGCTGAAGTCGTCTCCTTGCAGTCGCGAATCTGGGGTGATTTACGCGGATCGCGAGAGCCTTGAGGAGTCGATTGCACTCGATTCACGGCTGTTCACGCGAGCGCGTGGATAATCTTGCCATTAATCGAGTAAACGCGGTGTTTACGAGCTGTTGTTTGGGGCTTTGTCAGGTGCATTTGGCAGAAGTTGGGGGATTTACTGGGACTCGAGAGGTGGGAGACAGATTTATCGGAGAGCTCGCAGGATTTTTGCGGGGGGCAGCGAGCTTTTGCGGCGTGAATGTGCAGTTTTGGGGGGATTAATAACGTGGGGTTTGTGCATCATTTTTTATCTCGAATGATATAAGGAATTCGGAACTCGTGGAGAGGGATCAACGAATTTTATGCAGGTCTGGTGGTCACAACGTTTTCAAACATAACCTAGATTTTTAAGACGCGATTGTCGCGTTTTTTTGTTGTGAATTTTGGGGGAAAATTTGCTGCGAGATTTTTGCAATTGTTGGGGGCTCTATTTTTGCGTCAGTGGAGGTGCTGATGGTTTTTGGTTTTTACAGTCGAAGAAGTATAAGGATGCAATGAGTGATGAGAGCAGTGGAAGTGACTTCGATGACGACGAGGATCCCGATAAAATCGAGGTTCCTGGTGAGTTTATTTCTCGGGGGAGATGGGGGTTTCGGGTGACGGAGGAGTGATTGGTTTATTGTTTTTGTCAGGCGGGGGGAAGGACCTGGCTACTGCTGCTGGCATCAAGGAGGAGATTGCTGGGGATGCTGGAGGGACTCCAGGGGTTAAGGTCGAGGGAAATCCTGGTGGTGAGCATTTGTCCAGAGAGTGCAGCTCAATTTATAAAACTATTTGACATTTTTTGTTCAAAACGTTTTTTTCCTCTTTTTTTATTTCAATCTGTTTTTTTATTGGGAATTAGTAAAGTGGTGATTATTTCAATAGGAATGCTTCAATTATGAGAGACGATTTGTTAGTTCTAATGAATTCTCTATTGAGGTCAATGCAAGTTGTTGGATCAAAATGAAAGATCATCAAGTGTTAATGGATTGATTTTTAAGTAATAAAACCTTTATTTGATTGAAATGAAGGATATCTAATCCAAATTTGAAGCTTAAAATTCTAAGAGCAATTTTTTAAAATAGTTTAGGCGTAGAATGTCAAATATTCGGAGCCTAGTTTAATTAATCATCAATTAATAAACATTGCATGCACAACAGTAGATCTAAAAATGTCGTTAGAATTTTTTAGAGGTTTTTCTATTTATTATTATTTTTGAAAGTGAATAAATTGTTGTCGTTATCTCAATGAAAACGTTAATTGTTCGAAACATTTATTTAATCGTGTATGTAATTATATTTTTATACTCACAAAAGCTATTTATTTTACGTGAATAGAATGAAAATGGAATTCAATTTTAATTTTCAATGAATGCAATTCCATTTATTTGATTCAAATAAAGTCCATTCAATTCAAAATTGTTTTTGAACACTCCAAGAGCAACTTGTTAACAGTAGGAATGTCAATAGAATGAAATAAATAATCCATTCATAATTAATTAATCGCGAATGGAATTGAATTGATAATTAATAAATTATGAGACATTGAGCGCATGCAAAAATGATTTTTAATTTCCCAGTGAATCCAAAAATGTCATCAAAAATTCCTGGTGGCCTGGTAACGAAACCCGCGACCCCAGGGTACGAAATGGTGAGGGTTGGTGGATCCCAGGGGGCTCCCCAGGGTTTCCCCAATCAAGCACAACTCAATCAAATGGCTCAGTTCGGCGGTGGAGCTGGTATGCCATTCGGTAATTTTCCTCCCGGTCTCGGATTCAACGCAGCTGCACTGTTCCAACAGAGTGAGTCCTCCCATTATTTTTCAATAATGTGTTTAGTCGCCCGGTCGAATTTTTTTCATTGAAATCATAATGTTCGTTACTGTTTTAGTGGGCAATTTCATGGGCAGCTTCATGGGTATGTCTGATATGAACATGGGCGCCAATCCATTCCTACAGCTCTTGAATCAAAGTGGGCTTCATCCGAATTGGGCTGCTGGACTGCCAGGTTCGTCATTATAACTATCATCTCATTATTTTATCGCAGAGAATACTTATTAACGAATTATGGAAATTGAAGCGTTTTAATTTCCATAAATTGAGCGAGTTTTGTTTTTTTAATTTATTTCAAGCTTTTTTATTGGGAATTAATTAAAAAAAGAGATGGAGCCAATCTATTTTGACTCTGTCAATAAAAAAATTGAGTTAATGAAAAATTAGTTTAATTTTGAATTAAGAATGCTCATTCTTCGATTGATGAATATTTTAAAAGGTGGGGAGGTGTTACTCAATAATTTCTGTAACTTGTTTTTTCTCATGCTAAAAGTCTGTTCATTGGAATTCCAGTCGATTCGATCGAACCCTCGTTACCATGGTTAAAGCACAAATTCACACTATTACCCAAGTCGAGTGACAGATGAACTTGAGTTTTCATTTTTTTCGAAAACAAAAATTTTGTGTATATGGATTGATTTCACATTATTAACTCTATGTGACTGGGCTCACATATTTTAACTATTTTATAGACATTTTACATTTTTAAAGAGTGTGGAGACCCCCTCGCTCAATCATGAATTTCCCCTTTTCAAGAAGTAAGTGAAGTCTTTAAAAAACAGCTTCTTAGTACTCTGACATTTTCATTCATTCAATTCACTAGTAAAGTGAGAAAAGGAGATGATGCAGTTCTAATTTAAATAAGTTTTTAGGATTTTTTTTATAGTTTAATATATATATAAGAGAAACAATTAATTTTGCAGTTAATTTTTTCTGAATACTTATTTTTAAAAAATGGAAATAGGGAATTTAACTGTTCATAAAAACTTTCTTTCGTGGAAAAAAAAACCGACATCAACTATTCTCCACAATTAATTTTCGCAAAATATCCTCATCACAATTAAAAAATAATATAATATTAATAATTTAAATTTCCGATTGATGATGAATCAACTATTTAATAATACAGAACCAGAGATTTTTCATCTAGTGAATAATTCCAATTTCTCAAAAGGAATTATCAATTAACCAAATAATCGGCAATCCTCCTCCCTAAATTATCGATTAATAAAACAGTTCAGACTTTGAATATTAAATTGATGATTACTTGAGTAATTAAAAAATGAACAGTGATGTTAACTAATTGACGGTTTCAAAATTTACCGGTAATTATGATTTCCGAGAATGGCTGTCCCAGCAAGAGTTAAATTCACCTGACAACCCCCTTCTGACAAAACCCCTGACCCCCCAGGAAAAGCAGTCTCCCAGCTGTGGATGAACTCGGCAGACCCCACGAAGATGATGCAGCCGACAATTCCCGAGGAAGACGAGGCCGACGACGAGGAGATGGGTGTGGCCGAGACCTACGCCGACTACATGCCCACAAAGTTGAAACTAGGTCGCAAGCACCCAGACCCAGTGGTCGAAACGGCCTCCCTGTCGAGTGTGGAGCCAACTGACGTCTGGTACAAGGTGTCCCTGCCCGAGGAGACGATAAAATCGGGTGCCCTGTCGGCTCTCCAACTCGAGTCCATCACCTACGCCTCCCAGCAGCACGAGCACCTCCTCCCAGACGGCAGTCGAGCGGGTTTCCTCATCGGCGATGGAGCTGGTGTGGGCAAGGGCCGAACAATCGCCGGAATAATCTTCGAGAACTACCAGAAGGGCCGGAAACGCGCCATCTGGGTGTCAGTCTCCAACGATCTCAAGTACGACGCTGAACGAGACCTGAAGGACATTGGGGCGGGCAAAATCGACGTTCACCCCCTCAACAAATTCAAATATGCCAAGATATCGTCAGCTGTCAATGGAAATGTCAAGAAGGGGGTGATCTTCAGTACCTACTCAGCATTGATCGGTGAATCCACTCAGTCAGGTGAGGGAATTGGAAATTTTGGATTAATATCTGTTAATTGATAAGTTTAATGATAGTGGATGGAACAATATCACATGTACAAATTTTATAGAAAAAATGGATTTGATTCCATTTTTTATACGATTTGTTCTATTGGGATTTGTTCTCGAGTGAAATTCTTATCTACTTTTGTAGTCGAACATCAGAGGTTTCAGTTGAGCCCCATTTGGCACCAATTGAAAAATCTGAAAAAAAATTAGTTTACTTTTGGAAGAACAATAATGAAATAATTAAAAAATTGAAATTCATGAAAATTACGAGCGTTTTCTATAAATAACATACACAATCAATTTTCCTTCATAAAAATTATTTTGGAATCGTACCAAATTTATTCATTTTCCATAGTGTTACCGGGAAATGATGTCACGGACAAAAAAATAAGATTTCCGCAAAATTAGACAATTTCAATTATTTGTTTATGAATAACGAATGTTTGAAAAAAATAATAATTCTGTGCAAAATGTCAATTGAGTGACGCAGAATATTCATGATTTTTTAATTGACAAAACGGTTGGATCTATAGTGTGGCCTGTCCCAAACTGTAAATGATCCTTGGATATCCTAAATGAAGAGAAAACAGGAAAAGAGTGGAAGAAATTTCGGAAATTCATGTCGAGAAATTAAAAATAGAAAATGTGAACCCAATATTTCCCGTTTATCGCAGGTGGTAAATACAAAAGTCGATTGAAGCAGCTGCTCCAGTGGTGCGGAGAGGACTTCGACGGCCTCATAATCTTCGACGAGTGTCATCGAGCCAAGAACCTCTGCCCCACGGGCAGCTCCAAGCCCACGAAGACAGGTCTCACAGTCTTGGAGCTTCAGAACAAGTTGCCAAAGGCACGAGTGGTGTACGCCAGTGCGACAGGCGCCTCAGAGCCCAGGAACATGGCTTACATGGTGCGCCTGGGGATCTGGGGTGAGGGCACGCCATTCCCAGAGTTCAACGACTTCATAGCGGCCGTTGAGAAACGAGGGGTGGGGGCTATGGAGATCGTCGCCATGGACATGAAACTGAGGGGAATGTACATCGCTCGACAGCTGAGTTTTCACGGTGTTGCTTTCAAAATTGAAGAGGTACCTCTCTCCAAGGACTTCACCAAGGTCTACGATCACTCGGTTAGGCTGTGGGTGGACGCCATGCAGAGGTTTCACGAGGCTGCTGAGCTGATTGACGCTGAGAACCGTATGAAGAAGACGATGTGGGGACAGTTCTGGTCGTCGCATCAACGGTTCTTCAAGTATCTCTGCATCGCTGCTAAGGTTTGTTAGCCCATTACATTTTATTCTGGGACATTTCGTGAAAGTAAATTTTATTATACAAAATAATAAAACCCTGAGAACAGGAATAATTGCGAGCCAATGTTTACGATTATTCCTTTTGAATAAAAACTGAAAATAATTTTTGTTCAAAAAGAAAAAGTTGACATTTTTGTTTTGAATTATTATTCACATCATCATTTGTACCAAATTGACTGTAATTTTGTTCAATATCATTGTTTTTTATTTTCTGTCTGTTTGTTTTCTACTTTATTTTGTGTTTCATTTATTCATCAGAATAGCTACTCGTTCATATTCTCTTGAATTTTATAGACAGTATCATTACACAGTTATAAAAATCATTCATTAATTCAACGAATACCCAACTACAGGTGAAGCATGCAGTTGCAGTTGCTCGTGAAGCAGTGAAATGTGGCAAATGCGTTGTGATCGGGCTGCAGTCAACCGGAGAAGCTCGAACCCTGGAGCAGCTAGAAAGAGACGACGGTGAGCTGAGTGATTTCGTGTCGACAGCCAAGGGAGTGCTCCAGACCCTAGTGGAGAAGCACTTTCCAGCGCCCGATCGCAACAGAATCCACAGACTCCTGGGTCTCGAGCCCCCGAAAACAGCAGTGAATAACAACGCCCTGGCGACTGGCTCCAGCACATCCCTCTGCGACGACAACTCAGTCGTTCTCCCTGGTGGTAGCAAACGAAAGCCCGTTCGTCAGGCCGCCCAGAGGGCCTCGAAGAAGGTTCGTGCCTGGTCCTCAGAGGAAGAGATCACCGATGAAGACAAGACAGAGGGCAATGGCAACGGTGGCCACAGCTCGGGCTCAGAGTTCAAACTCTCAGGGAGTGAGAGCGACGAGGAGAACAGATCCGACGAGGAGAGCAACGTCAGCTCTGACTTTAATCCCTTCTACAGTGACAGTGACTCCGACGCTGACCCCTGGGACAGGAGGAAGAAGAAGCCCGGTAGGAAGGCCAAGAAACCAGCGAAGAAGAGGCTCAGCACTCAGGACAAAATTCAGTCGATGCTTGCAGAGAAGACAGCAGCAGCCGCTGCAGCCCAGAAGCACAGTAAAAAGAATGGCGATTCTGGTGGTCTGGGTCTCAACATAAACAGCATTCCCCCAGGTATGCATTATCCTGGAATGAAGCCGAGCAACAGTGCACCTCCCAGAGATGCAATTGAGCGTGCCTGCTGCATGAAGGAGGAGTTGCTGGCGCAGATCGAGGCTCTCGGGGAGAAATTGCCCCCCAACACCCTGGACCAGCTGATCGATGAGCTCGGGGGTCCTGAGAACGTCGCAGAGATGACAGGGAGAAAGGGACGAGTCGTTCAGACTGAGGACGGTTCGATTCAGTACGAGTCACGCTCGGAAGTTGATGTTCCCCTTGAGACACTCAATTTAACCGAGAAACAGCGGTTTATGGACGGTGAGAAGACCGTTGCCATTATATCCGAGGCTGCCAGCAGTGGTATATCACTCCAGAGTGACAGACGTGCTCGCAATCAGATGCGCAGAGTTCACATCACCCTGGAATTGCCCTGGAGTGCTGACAGGGCTATTCAGCAGTTTGGAAGGACTCATCGTTCGAATCAAGTCAATGCACCTGAGTACATATTTTTGATATCTGATCTGGCTGGGGAGAGGCGTTTTGCGTCTACTGTTGCCAAGAGACTGGAGAGTCTTGGGGCTCTCACGCATGGGGACAGGAGGGCCACGGAGACCAGAGACTTGTCGCAGTTTAATATTGATAATAAGTATGGGAGGGCCGCTTTGGAGGCCACCATGAAGACCATCATGGGGTATGAGCCACCGCTGGTACCACCACCTCAGGACTATCGTGGGGACTTCTTCAAGGATGTGGCTGATGCTCTGGTGGGGGTGGGACTCATTTGCAACAGCGAGAACATGCCTGGGGTTCTTTCACTGGATAAGGATTACAATAATATGTCCAAGTTCTTGAATAGAATACTGGGGATGCCTGTCGATCTGCAGAATCGTCTGTTTAAGTACTTCACTGATACGCTGGCTGCCATTGTCACGCAGGCCAAGAAGACTGGGAGGTTTGACATGGGGATATTGGATCTGGGGACCTCTGGGGAGAATGTCAAGAGGGTAAAGACGTTTAGGTTCATGAGGAAGCATTCCACTGGTACTGCTCCCACTGAGCTTCATGTTGTTCATGTGGAGAGGGGAATGGCTTGGTCCGAGGCCACTGACAAGTGGGCTGAACTCGTTGGATCCAAGGAGGGATTCTATCTCAGTCATCAAGTGAGGAATGGAAAGCAGACGGCCATTCTTGCGGTTGCTGTGGAGAATGGGAAGAAGAAGGGCGAGGGGAAGAAGGATCAGTTGTACATGGTTTACAGGCCCAATACTGGGCTGCAGTTGAGGCAGGAGAGCCTCGGGGAACTTGAGAAAAAGTACAAGAAGGTGTCCTCTGATGAGGCCGAGCCACACTGGAGCCAGCAGTTTGAGGCCTCTGTTGATACGTGCTCGCATGCTTATTGGAGGGGAAATTGTAAGAATGTTACGCTCGGGATGGACTGCGAGGTGGGACTGCGACGACGATCTTATAATGTTCTTGCTGGGTCGGTACTCAGTGTTTGGAGTAGGGTGGAGTCTATACTTGCTGCACGTTCTGGTCATAATTCTAAAATGCAAGTTATACGGTTGAGGACTGGTGAGTTTGCGCGGATTATTTATTCTTCTGGGATTTATTTTCTGTTGATTGGGGAATGAGAGGGGGTAATTACAGTTCATTATCAATTCGAGGGATGGTTGGGGACATCCAAGTAGGTTTTAAAGTTTTGTGGAGATTGCACTGTAGATTCAAACATTTTCAATCATCAAATTTGATATTCAGTCATTAGGTTTATAAATCAAATTGCAGGAGAAAAATTGTAAAAATAAGTCTGGGTTATTCGCGTTTTTTAAATGATTTTATGGAATTGTTTTTGAAAATGTATAAAAAATCCCACGTTTAATCATTAAATTTCAGATGATGGCTTGAAAGTCGTTGGTACATTAATTCCAAAAGCCTGCATGGAGGCACTACGTCAGGCCCTATCATCAGACGCTGAGAAAACTGAAGAGCAGAGTTTTTAACCAACAATTGTCTCAACAGCAAAGCCAACTTCAATTACTAAATTAAGTTATTAAATCGAATTACTTTGTCCACATGATAGAGAAACATAGGGTGAAAAAAAATGTGGAATTTGTATGAATGAATACTTTTTTTGAGTTATATCCGCATTGTCCTACTTACGTGAATTTCAACATGGAGACTGCCTACGTGAACAATCGAGTGGAAATTCATTGAGAAGCATCGTTAATTAATGATACAGCTTCACTCGGAACGAATGAGAGAAAAGGGAAATGGGGGGAAAGAATACCGATAAAAATTCATGGATAAAAAGTAAAGAGTAATAATCGCGCGTTGCTTCCCGTGATAGACTAAGTAGTTAGAGGCCCTTATGAACATTATTTTTACTTTTCTTCGAGAAGACGCTCACACCAGCGCGCGCGACTGGTATCGATAAGTTCATTTTATACATAATTATATAAATGAAGAACTCTTTCTCAAAGAGGAGAAAAACAAAAATGCAGCAATTTTATGATTTTTCTTTCTTCATTAACCGATTTATGTGCGGCAATAGCAGTGATATTTTGACGTACTCAATTGACGAAAAAAATGGAAATTACGTAGTCGCATTATCGGAGGACATTGTTTTTTTTTATTGTAAACTATTTTATATTAACGAATATTTCACTTATTTCGATGAAATACCGATAGTTAACAGTCTTAAGTATTATCATCAACTGTTGCTTGGTGAAAAGAACAATTATCACTACGATTTAAACTCCACAATGATTCGTCTTATTTTCGGTGGTGTAGTTGAATCCGATGGGCACTTAATGGTATATTTGTTGTAACAAATTGTCATTCTATATGAACTGTGTAGCAATTTTCCTATTAGCAATATGAGTGAACGACTTTCGGGTTTACGCTCAATTCGACCCTACATTTGTATTCAAGAAGGAAAATATTAAAGAGAAGGAAATGAATCTGGTGTAAATGCATTGTGTGTGGTAGAGGGCTTTAGTTCAATTCAGTTATTCTTATGATGGAGTGAGGACCGGTTGCATCATTCTCTGGTGGTTCATCCAACTAATATCACAAATCATTAAAATGAAATACTTTTCAATAAGTTGTCTAATTGTAACGAAAAAACACGGAAGTATTTATAATTTAGTGAACCTCAAGACAACTTCAAACAAATTTGACAATGTTAACATTTTGGTGTTCATAAGAGATGATTTTTTAATATTATGACGTTTATCATATGACATTTACGATAAAAGTACTCAAAATTTAATTTTAAATTCATTCGATTGCTGTCTCCAATTCATGGAATTAAGTCTTGGAAATTGAAACACGTGGAAATAGTAGATTTTGATGCAACATGTCTAAAAAATAGTCTGTGGCTCCTGTGAAATGTTCACGAAACTGCAACATGTAACGTCTGTATACGATACCTAAGGCATAAAAATTTAAGACTACCGATTAACCGGAAATTAAGCATGATTTCACGAGAATACGCACTGCAAGACGTAGAACATATCCCATAAATGTAGAATATGTTTTTTTCGAATGAGAAATTATTCATGAAATGAATGAAAAGCTGATGCTTGACATTTTCGCTTTTTTGAGGTTTCAAATCTTCAATAATTGAGGATTCAATGTAACTTATTCTGTGCCCAATTGCCAAAGCTTCTTACCTTTAGCATTGTCTATGTTATTGACAATAATGCTCCTGTTAATAAAGTGACAGAATTTCGGATACGTGATAGATAATTTTTTGCCCACACCTCACGACTCTTGTCCGGATAAATCACATGGATTGTGGAATCAGAGCAGAATATCTCCAATTTTGAAGATATGAAACACGTGTCAGGAGGATGAAAGTGTTGAGTGATGATACACAGTTGAGAGAAATTTTAATTTATTACCTACTAGACGTAAGAAATAACTCTTTAAATGTGTATTCATTACACAGATGTAACTAAATACAAATTCAACTCCCTAGAACCTCAGTTGTCGCCCTGTACTAGATGCAATCCTGTAAAAACTGTCCGCACGTTCATCATCAATGATTTTTATTCAGTATTTTATCCACAACTAAACAGCCAACGACATTATTGAAATTGCCCTTAAATCTAATTTTTTCAGATTCATTTTTCAATCTTCAATAACTGGAGATTGCCCGGGTGAATTCCACGATTTTTTTTCCAATTCCGAAGAATTTTTTACGTTTGAAAATGAGATTCGACTCGTTGAAATTGTATTTCAATTCAGGTTTGGGTTTTGTATTTGGGGAAGATATGGAAAAACCTGAGCTATCAATGAACATTGGAATCAATTCGGTGTATATACAAGGATATAAAATTTTCAGTGGAATCCTAAAATATATTTACAGTCCTCCTCTCTCGTAAAGAATTTAATTTTCATTGTGGTATCACTTGAATAACAGGGGTGGGGCAGAATGGCGTCTTCAGACATTTTTTAAATATTCATGACTCAGAAGTAAAGAGAAAGAAGTGGACTCTTCAAGAAAAGCAAAAATCATTCCATTTCATCGACAATTGAATGTTTTAAAACGGAAAAAAAAAATTCTGAAGTCTCCATTTTGCCCCCTTGTTGCATCTTCAATTTCACATGCACCCTCTGGACTCCATAAATTGGTCAATAATCATTAATTTAATAATAAATTCCCTCGCTGTTATCACCGCATGGAGTAAATGAAAGCTCGAATATAAAAAATATTTTATCGACTGAAATGCAAAGATGTTCGACTCAGTGAAAGGCATAGAGGAGCATCAGGAAAGTGCAGAATCCAATGACAAGACCGAGGAGCAACGAGTCCCGTCGTTTGCGCAAATTAATTCGTTGTATGAGACTATTAACTGCTGGAAATCGATTTGAAATATCGTTGAATCTTGTTTGAATGCGTTTGAAGGCGTGACGCTGGGACATGAGATTGTCTCGTGTCTCCATGGCGATGTTGATTTGATCGGTTATCAAACGATCCGAACTGGAATTCAAATAGAACGATTGAGTGAGCTATTTATTAGTGAGTAGATGAGGTAGTAAATTTCTTTTTTTAGGTATTATGGAGTCGTACTTATGTATGTGTTGATTCTCCTTCAAATACATGTCTCTTCTGTTCAATCCTCCGACATTTTTGTAATTACTGAAATGTTTAATACCTTGATTAACAGGTGGATGTTTTTGGGAAGAGATCAATTGTTTTTAGGGGACACCAGAGTAATTGAATAGTTTTTGATTAAATTCAGCCGAAGATTGATTTATAAATAGGACAGTTATCTTTATAACGAGTAATTTTGGGGGGAGCTGTCAAGAGAAATTTTGACAGAACATTTTTGTCAAGTCAATGTTCATCATAAAATTGATTAATTAATTCATTAATTGAATGATTAATTTCAACAGGATAAATTTTCATCGAAAACTGTCTCATTCATAATTCATCAGATGATTCGCAATTACAATAAGATGAAAATTGACTTCCTCACTGTATTAATTATTAATGCAGGGAAATCAGAAGATGTCACCATAACGAATTAATAATCAATTATTCAATTTTATATACAGATTGAAAAAAAGACGTACTCAATGTCCTGTCGAACACTCCCCAGCAGTTCCTCGCGATCTTTGCGACTCATAAAATTATTCTGCAATTTATTAAACTCCAATTTATAATCCTTCAGTATTTCCTTATGTCTCTGCATCGTGTGGAGCATCGCAGCTCCATTCGCCTGGATACCACTCATTCTGTCGTTGATCATCGCCAGCTGTGAATTACTCATCAATTAATTTTTGCTTTATTTCAAATGAAATTAATTTACTTTAAAACCCAATAAATTTTTATCTTAATTTTTTTTTCCCTGAACACGACTTGGACACTGGGCACTTTCTTTGAACATTTGTTAAGGTTTTAGGATTAAAAAACAATGCTAAAATGCTCGTTTTGCCCCTACCTTAGTCAAGAGTGATCCAATTTCTGAGGTCATATTATCGAACACATGATCCTCGTCCAGTAACGGTACAGTGTCTGCACTGGCATGACTGGAATTTGTGTTAATCCCAAGCTTACTGTACGCCACCAATTTAGCATCGATTTCGTTCTCGAGGTGTCTCGCCTGTTTACGAAGATCTGGAATAAACAAAAACAAGTGGGCAATTGCTCTTGTCTTTTGGCACATCATTTCCTTCTGTCGTACATCAGTTATCTACACCCACAATCCGCACAATGGCTGGACATACCCCAAAAAATCCAAAACCCAAATTGGAACGACGACAAAGTCTCCACTCGAAAGAAAAAAACTAGGTTACCTTCCCAGTCGACAGCCTCCGTGGGTTTCGACATTTCCTCATAAATCAACTCCACAATTTCCGCAATGCAAATAAAACCTATCAGTCCACTAATACCATTCACAATTCATCAGCTGATCATAAGGGACAGCAATTATTTTCAACTGCGAAGCAACAATGAGTGACGATTGACTCTCGTCTCACTTGACGTACCACAATTTACAAACAATTTAGCAGCGCGAGGGAGCCAGTGGTGATGTTCCCCGTGACAGCTGAAAAACTCAATTTTTCGAATTACGTCTAAACTCAGACCACACGCGGACTATCCTAATTGCCTCGACTGCATCAATTATTTTTTGCAGCACTAGGTTTATTATTCTACTCCATTAGTTGGAGCTGCAAGAGGAATATTGGAGTGGTTTTTTTTCAGGAATTCTGGTCAAGTCCGGGGGGAAAAAATTGGGAGAAAAAGGATATCGACCCTGGGGGGAGGACAGGAGTGACGAATGCAAAAAGCGCGCGTTCATCGGGCGAGGAATTATTAGCATTGATAATTGGAATTGGTCTGGGGATTTTTTTAATTCAGCGAAAAACCACTCGCGCTTTATTTATCGACGGGATAAAAAAAGGACCCGGTCGCTCTCTCTCGCTCTCATTGATCCGAAGGGCACCGAACAGGGGTGCATTCCAGATGGCCGAATCGCGGGGAATGTAACAAGGACAACTATCCACACATTTACGAGCCATCTCTCTCGCGTCACTCCACCCCTTTCCCTTGGTTCACTCCAGTTTGTGGTTGATATTTGTGCAAATATGGCGGACCCGTTGAGTTTACTGCGGCAATACAATGTTAATAAGAAGGAGATTATCGAGAGGGAGAATCAGATCATCTTCGGGGAATTTTCCTGGCCCAAAAATGTGAAAACTAACTATTTGACTTATGGGTGAGTTTTGTTTTTCACGCGGTTTTTCGAGTGGGCTTTGTGGGTCGCGTTGCAGTATGGTGATGGGTTCGAGAGAGGTAAACAGAGTTTTTTTGGAAATAAAATGTCAGGTTTGACAGGCGGACAGAGCGGGAGATGATTTCAGTTGAGTTCGAATGTTTTTGTCAGCATTATTTTTTCACGGAAATTTATTGATTGGTGAATATATTGTTTCATAGAGGTGGCACAATTTTTAGGGAGAGCTTTCTGATGACAGCTGTACGAGAAACTTCTTGAGGGATTTCATCGTCTTCGATTCCAAGATATTATAAATTTAAAATTCCCCTCAGACTTGAATTTTCGTTAAATATCTCGGAATGAAATGGAGATTGATTAATTTTTGTGCATTTGCCTCGTGGCTGACTTCAGTGGAATTGATGAGTTGAAAACGCGATAAGTGGAAAATTAAATTCCGCTCAGACTTGAACTTTCATCAAAGGCGTGTTAATGAAATGGAAATTGAGAAATCTTTGGGAATTTCATCTCCTTTGTGACGTTCTTTCTCTCCAAGTGGAATTTTGCAATCCCTAGATATTCTTGAAGAATTCATGAATTGAAAACGTGACAAGTGGAAAATCAAATTCCGCTCAGACTTAAATTTGCATTAATCGACATTGAATAGTAATAGAAAAATTATCACGACGATGTCCTTCCTTAGGAAACTCAGAAAACTTATCGCCGTTTTGTCAAAGGTACAAAAGTCTAAAATCAGGGGACTTTGTCCCTAAATTGGAATTTCTAGAACAGGGCGCGCGCGTATTGTTTTCCGGGAGTGCGAGAATCATTCATTAATTTTCATCTCAATAATAATGCGAGAAAAATGAATGGTTTCAACAAAGTTTTTCACAATGAGAATTTAATTGTTGAATAATTTATTCGGAATCGTCACAATCCTCTTCTTCATTTCTCTTTTGCTTTTTGTTTTTTTTTATTTCTAGGGATGTATTATGTACTATATACGTATATACTATCCTATACATATTTTTTTTACAGTACAGAACTGCCATGGATTATTTTTATTGTCAAAAAAATTACAGTATTCCATTTCATTTTCCATACACCTTTCGGTTTTTACGGTTTCTTATTCTTTCATCTTGTTTTTTCCGCATATTTGTTTTTCCCAAATGCTCTTTCCAGTTTTTCCAAACAATGTTTCTTTCCTGAGGTGTTCCCACGCGGTCACCCATCCATCTAGTGACCACGCTCAGCGCTGTTTAGCTTCCCAAAGCTGAGCCTGCCCGTCACCGCAGGGCGCTAGGAGCGTAANAAAAAAAAAAAAAAAAAAAAAAAAAAAAAAAAAAAAAAAAAAAAAAAAAAAAAAAAAAAAAAAAAAAAAAAAAAAAAAAAAAAAAAAAAAAAAAAAAAAAAAAAAAAAAAAAAAAAAAAAAAAAAAAAAAAAAAAAAAAAAAAAAAAAAAAAAAAAAAAAAAAAAAAAAAAAAAAAAAAAAAAAAAAAAAAAAAAAAAAAAAAAAAAAAAAAAAAAAAAAAAAAAAAAAAAAAAAAAAAAAAAAAAAAAAAAAAAAAAAAAAAAAAAAAAAAAAAAAAAAAAAAAAAAAAAAGTATAAAACATGTAGTGGGGGAGGGTGGGGTAAAACGGACACTGGACTTTTTCAAAATTATTCATAAGTCAGAAGCAAATTTATCAATTGAGCTCAGTTTAAACTCGTCATAAAGGGAAAGAATTGTTCTTTGTATTGAAAAAAAAAAATTATCAAAATTTATCAACATTTCAACCCCTCATTAAAATTTAAAAAAAGTCAAAAAAGTTCCGTTTAACCCCAACCTCCCCTATATATATTTTTTTTTACAGAACTATATAGATTTTTTATTACAGTAAGAAATGAATTTGTCTTTTTTTACAATTACCGTAAACAAAGCATTACAGTACATAAAAAAATATGCATAGACATCATATTACATGACTTGATAAGCGTAACAGAGGCTTCAAAAATCGTTGCACTGGATTTTTTTGAATTATATAATAATGTATCATTTCACCTGCCGCGGTTAGAGCCGTATTTTTCGCCTCTGCACAAATGCATCAATAGTATTTTTCCGGGCTGCTGCAATGGGGTTTTTTACTCGTGTGGCGTTGGCGCCCTCGCCTTCGGCTCGGACTGCCCAACCACACGAGTAGAAAAACCCCATCGCAGTAGCCCGGGAATAGATTTTTTTCTAGTGATTTTCAAGTTTTCGAGTTTGGAAAGTATGCAATACCAATTCTCAGACGAGAAATCGGGAGAAGCAGTACAGAAAAGTCATTCTTCAACTGCGTATTTTGCGCGCGCGTGGTGGGAAAAATTCGTCATTCCCAAAAATCCCCAAAAAACCTCTTTCTCCCCCGTTCGCCCCCACCAATAGGGGAGGGTAGGGTAAAACGGACCAGGCGGGCAAAACAGACTACTGACAGAAAATTGATAATTTTTTCATTTTTTGATAGTTTTTGCTTCCGACTGGAAGCAAAAAAAATAATTCAAAATCATTTGTGGTTTGAGGTGACTAGCAAATCTGATAAAATTGCGGTTCAACGACCCTTCTTGTCTATAAAACTCCTGTGACGGTTATGATGCTGAAACTCCCTTCTAATTCCACACATTCAGTATTCTGATTTGAAGGAAAGAAAAAAAAAACAAAAATACCAATTTTCTGTCAGTCGTCCGTTTTGCCCTGCGGTTCGCCTTGGCCTCCCGTTCCGTTTTGCCCTCCCGTAATAATGGCTGTCCTCCCCGGCAGCTCCGGAAAAGAGGGCACCCCCAAGGAGTACTACACCCTGGAGTGCCTCCTCTTCCTCCTGAAGCATGTCCAGCTCACGCACCCGGTGTACGTCCGGCAAGCGGCGGCGGAGAACATCCCGGTGGTGCGTCGCCCGGACCGAAAGGACCTCCTGGCGTACCTCAACGGCGAGACCGCGACCTCCGCGGCGATCGACAAGTCCGCACCCCTGGAGATACCGACGCAGGTGAAGCGGAGCGCGGAGGACGGCCTCGACAGCGGCCTCCTGAAGAAGCCTCGCTTCGAGGAGACCCACGTGCAGAAGGTGAAGGAGCAGCTGGCGGCTCGGCTGGACGCCCCGAAGGAGGCCTCGGTCACCGTCGACAACATAAAGTCCCTCTCCGAGGCGATGTCAGTGGAGAAAATCGCGGCGATAAAAGCCAAACGACTGGCGAAAAAGCGAACGACAATAAAGGAGAACGACGACATCGGAATGGGCTCGGACCTGCGGGTCATCCTGGACATGGACGTGGACGACACCAAGGACATCGTCTCCAGGGAGCGCCAGTGGAGGACTCGCGCGACGATCCTCCAGAGCACCGGCAAGATCTTCGCGAAGAACATCTTCGCAATTCTCCAGAGTATAAAGGCGCGGGAGGAGGGACGGCAGAAGGGGCCGCCGGCACCGACGCCGATGACGACGCCGAGGGCAACCCCCATGCGGCCGCTGCCGCAGCCGGCGGTCTACAACCGCTACGATCAGGAGAGATTCATCCGGCAGAAGGAGGAGACCGAGGGCTTCAAGATCGACACCATGGGCACCTACCACGGAATGACCCTGAAATCGGTGACCGAGGGGACGAATCCAGCTGTACGGAAAATCCCACCCTCCAGCGCCTCCGCCATTCCCACGTCAGGACTTTTGCCCACGTCAGCGGCCAAACTCACGCCGGGGCAGGCCGCGCAGAACAAACGACCGAGCAGAACTCCCATCATCATAATTCCGAGCGCCAACACATCGCTGATCACCATGTACAACTCCAAGGACATCCTCCAGGACCTCAAGTTTGTGTCGAGCGACGAGAAGAGGTCCGCCGGGTGCAAGAGGGAGAACGAGATTCTCCTGCAGAGGAGGAAGGAGGGGGGACTCACTGTGCCTTATCGGGTCGTTGATAATCCGCAGAAGCTGGGCAACAGCGACTGGGAGAGGGTGGTCGCGGTTTTCGTCATGGGGCCTGCCTGGCAGTTCAAAGGCTGGCCCTACGATGGCAATCCCGTGGAGATATTCTCGAAAATCTGCGCCTTTCACATCAAGTATGACGAGATGAAACTCGACGCCAATGTCGCGAGGTGGGCCGTCACCGTTATTGAGCTCAGCCGGACCAAGAGGCATCTCGATAGGGCGGCTTTGATGATGTTCTGGGAGCATTTGGATAAGTAAGTGAGGGCGGGAAAATTCGGTGAAAAGCCTGGCGATTTCTTGGAAAATTGTGGTGGATTCGTGCTGAACTTTTTAGTTATTTTTGGATAATTCCATTGAAATGTTCAATAGAGGTTATTCAAAACGCCAACAGAATTCAGTAGCGAAGTGGTAAAACGGTATAAGTCAATTTTGACTATTGATCGGTTTTCAATGAATATCTCGGAATCTAAGGGAGATGCGAAATTGTTGTTAGAACGTTTTTTGTAGAGGCGATTGAGTGCTACAACAAATGTAATCACGAAAATTTCGCTATCTCCGTTAGATTCGGAAGTATTCCTCAAAAACTCAACTGGGAGATGAGTCGACTTAAACTGCTTTACCACTTCGCTATTGAATTCGATTTCTATATTTAACTTAGTCCATTGAGATATTTTCTATAGAATTTCCTCGGCTCAAATTATCCAAGTTTCTTTTGGATGATTTTATTATTTAAACTTTGATCAGAAGATTCTTCAGAAGAAGATTCAAATCCAGATGAAAACCGTTTTGGTCTGAACTTGAATCTCGATATTGAATCGTTAGGAAACATTTTTTTAATCTGAAAAAAATTAGAAAGTTTGCTTTTAATATTGCTCAAATAATTTGAAAATTGCAATGAATTGTAAGAAATTTATTCACATTCAGATTTCATGCCTAAAAAAATAATAATTTTGTCCAAAATGTAATTTTAATGACGCAACGTCGTTTTTCGTGTTATTGGATTTAAAATACTCCTCGCACTATAATTTTCGCCTGATTTAAATTAATATATAATTAATATACCAATAAAATGGTTCATTCAATTACGGATTGGGGATTCCCTCCATTATTATTCTTTTCGTGATTTCTTCAAATCACGATCTTTATTTACGTGATATTTATTCATGTGAGGCTCCCAGATGTGGAATGGAAATCCCTCCGCTTAAATTCTCGACTTCCTCAATGAGAAGAGGAAACAGCGGAAAAAACCGAGAGGAAATTCTCCAGAAAAAATCTCAACAGACTGTTTTTCCATAAAACCGTAACTTATTAAATTCCCAACTTTCTAATTCTCATTTCTCTATTCACAGGCACATGATTAAAAACAAACCTCTCCTGCGATTCTAATTCTTCAACCCGAGGAGCTCTCCACTGCGTGTCATGATACTAGGATAGTCTTTTCTCCGTCGTTGAGGTTTACAGATATCAGAAATTCATATAAGTATTATATGTTGCATTTGTGATTCAGGAGTGATTAGCAGGGTATCACAGACAGAAGTAGCTTCCTGTTAGCCTGGAAGACATGGGATTCCACGAATTCCCAGTGACTCCACGTTTTACTCATCTCTCATTTTAACTTGTCGACTTGCATTTCGTCTTCGCATACATCACTTTTAGGTATTAACGTAACAATTGTAAATAGTGAATTCACAGATTTGTACATATGAGAACTGATTTATAAAGAAGAAATATAGTGGCAATAACGAATTTGATCGATTGAGTGGTGATTTTATTTGCGTGATTTATCCTCTATTTTTATTTCATATTCATTTGATTACTGAAGGCCTGGAATATCTGAAAGTATCGGAATGCAAAGCGGTCAGCGATCTGGGTGTGTACCCAACTAATCACCCGTTATTCACTAATCGTGGACATTAGGGTTTTTTCCGCAGTGACTCGACAGAAACGGAAAATAAATGGAAAAGATATGAAAAAATTAAAAGAATAACTTATGAAAACTGCATATAAAAAAAATTAAACAGATTTTGATTTTTTTCATTATTTGAACTATCAATTTTTTTTCTGGGGAATAAATAATTTTAAATCATAAATAATTTTAAATCCTGGGTATCAAGTTCCGACGGTTGTTCCTCCGTCCCTTTCTTGCGTCTCATTACAAAATAAAAAAAAGGAAATTCAAGCGCGAGAATTCCTACAGAATTTCAAAATTTAAGTTTTCCTACAATATTTTTTCATTCTAAAAACTTGTTTGAAATTAAATCCATTGGATTCGCTAATGATACCACTGATGCCTCCCCCGACCCAGAAAATGATTGAAACAAAGTCCCCATCGCATCACTCCCGATCGTCTTCCCCAAACAATAAGGAAAAAGGAGTAGCGACCACACATGCTCAGCCCATCAGCACCCGAATTTGCCATTCATCCTCACACCTATCTGTCGAATTATCCTATAACGGCGTTCCAAAAATATTCCCCTCATATTCCAACTTTCTAAAATCAAAATATCCCACGATCGTGCCACCATTCATCTGCGAATCAACATTACCAAATTAAAATAATCGATAAAAACACTGGAATTTTCTTCCTGTGCTCGACGCAATACGATAATTAGAGGGTGCAATCTTTGTTATTTCCATGTCGTAATGTTTTTGCGTTCGAGGGAATAATAATTGCCATAGTGCCACAAAAAAATTGCACATCGGTGGAAAACAATGGCTAATCATCGGCGTATGCATGCACATTCTAATAGTTTCGATATGAGGTGATAGTATGATAAATTGTTCAATGAGATGTGAAAAAAGTGCGCAAACCCGTTCTTACAGAATACGTAATCGAGGCTGTCTGTTCTTGGGCGTTCTGTTTTCGGCCGTTTTTATATCATTTTCAACGTGATTTATGTTTTCTTCGTTTAGCTGTGACGCACTGTGTTGTTTAGTCCTGTTTGAATCCTCAGCTATTTTCTTGGAGACCTCATCATCCATCAGCTTCTTCTTTTATTGACGATGAGGGTGATTAAACATCTGCATAATAACAGTATTCCAATAAAATCATTTTATTGCGTGTGAAATCAGTTAATGATAGGAGATAAATTTTACGTTATTGAATTATCAATAATCAACTGATTCGAGTTTCGAATCTTTTTGTCAATAAATTTTTAAAATTTTCAATAAATTGTTGGAAATTTTTTTTCAATAGAAATGGGTAATGAAAGATATTTTACAGAAAAAATCAATGGAATTAGATTTTTTCTGTGCAACTTCCATTGAGATATTTTCTGTAGAAATTTCGCGCTTCAAATTTTTCGAGTTGAATGAAACGAATAATGAAAAAATAAAAATAAGGGATAATGACTAGTGAAACGAGGTGAAAAATCTATTGACATTTTTGGTCAGTAAATTTTTTCGGCATTTTTGTCTGGACAAATCGAGGAGTAATAACCTTTGACATTCATCGCGGGTGCAACAGCACGAGGATTGAAATATTTGATGAGGGGTATTCCAAACACACTCGTCTGCTCTTCAACACACGTGTGCTGGGTAATTCCCACGTAACGTGTCCTCTTTGGGGAACGGGTTTGGTCCCGCCGAAACTTATGACGAATATATACTTGTATGAGAGTTATGCCCTCTTCGTGTGGATTCAGAAAGAAATTGTCCTTGAATTTGTGGTATCGTAGAGCGTGAAAATCGGAGTATTGAAGACTCTTCGGGATCAACTGATCAATCATTTCCGATGAATATTGTGAGCGAGGGATTAGTGGATCGGAAAATTATTGGAAGATTATTCACATTATTTAAAGTTTGTTGTCTGGTGGAAAACATTTTAAACACCTGATTTTTTTTCAATTTCTTTATTGAGAAAGATTTATAAAATGATTAGAAAACTGCAATTCTCAACCCCGAAACAATTTCCTACCCCATTTCCAATTCAATAAATAGTATTCCAAATGCAACTGCCGCCAGAAAAATTCAAAATACGATTTCTGTTCAATTTTAATCGAAATTATATGAAAAATAATTTTTTCATTTGTCGTTCGTTGCTTTAATTTATTTATTCTCCCGCATTTCAGACATTTCATTTCATTTATTCTCACATTTATTTCTCAGGCATTTTTCTTCGTCGAAGTCACTATTAAAAGGTGTAGCTGAACATTCAGAGCTTCCATTCAAATTTTGAGTCCATTCACAATTTTTTCATTTAAATATTTAAATTCTATTCTCAATTCTTCATTTTGAACCGTTAAAAAATCTTTTAAACATCCACAAAAAATGAAAAGCTTATCTCGAGAAAAATTCACAGAATCATTGAAAAATTGCAATTCTTCGTGATATTTTTCCGCAAACAATTCATGAACAATTCATAAACAGGGAATTTTCAACCCCACAATAATTTCCTGCTCCGCTTTTAATTCACAAAAATTGAAAATACGATTTCCATAAAATTTTCATGGAAACATATTTCCCACGCATCATGATCTCTCCGTTATGTTAATCACTGCACCTCCCACATACTTAGAAACCGTACGAGGTGATATTTGTCAATCAAACAGCTGCGCGCACTCCCAATTTCCAGTGTAGTGATCTTGGACTTTAAACAGCGGTGAAGAATGAATGATTCGTCCAGTAATTCTTCCTCCAGGGGATCTCAAGGACGAGGGCTTTGCGAAAGATTTTCGGCTTCTCACGTGACAAATGGAATCTTTGTATCTCAGTTTCAGGTGAATATTTAAGGATTACGTTTTGGCTGATCAGAATTGCTAATTCCTCGAGGTAAGTGCCATTAGCCAATCCTTTCTCACGAATTGAGAGTAAGTAAATAAACCTCTAATTTCATTTCGTTTCATCATTCGTCGATTAGTCAATTATTCATTAACAAGGGCAATGCGGTCGAGGTGATCCGGAAAAAGGGTTTTCCGTAATTAATTAGATAGATTTTTAAGTTTTTCTCATTAAATCTTTCCTATCGAACAATGTTAATAAAAAAAATAGAAACAGGAATAGAATAAAACGAATAGAATTTCCAACAGAATTCTAATAGAATTCAGATGAAGTTTTTGATTATGCGAACGGAATATTTTTATTCAATTAACAGAACGTGACATTTAGGGTGACTTAAGCCAATTAATTTAATCAAATACGTTATTTAACTTTCGTTTCGTGAGGATAACTCATCGATAACTGCTCTATCGAATTATACTCGAATTATCCAGAATAATTCAGCAACGAAGTCACAAAACGACATAAGTTCATTACATTTTCGTCGAGAATATATTTGAATCCAAAATAAACAGACAATTTTGGGCGAGGAAATGGCATCAATAATCACTATTATGATTCTGGAAACAGTTGTTGACAATTTCAATCGAAAACTTTTCAGTTGAATCATCGATTTTTGGTATTTGATACAAGAGATTCATGACCAGTTCGGAAAAATATTGCAATTCTAATGTGTGATTATTATTTTTTTTTACTACTGCGGGGAATAATGCATGTTGTGACGAATGTACAAAAGAAAAAATTCATGTACTTATGGTATTTACTATTATTACGAGAGATTTATGGAAATTTCGTTGTCCCTTGGGTTTTTAAATATTCAGCGAAAATTGACCTCCGAGTGAAATTATCAGTTCTCGTTTCATCATTCTGCTGTGCTAGGTAAATTCACCTTAATTGGGAATCAAAACCTTTGAAATATTCGAGAATAACTGATTCCCTTGGAATATTCATAGATTGCTGCTGATATATCACTGAATGTTGAAGGAAATGGGAAAAAATTCACATTTCAATTTTATGTGATGCTGAAAATGCATGAAAATGAGAAAGATTTAACTCTAGTCTGTGGAATCAATTCACAAAAAAATTCAAAATTGTTCGAGTTCCTCCGGAAAATTCAAAATACGATTTCGATTCATTTTTGCACTCATTTTTATTCTCAATTTATTTGTTCTAGCTTTTAATGTTTAAATTTTGAAAGTCTAATTCAATTCTTCATGTTGAGCCATTACGAAACATTTTAAACATTTGTAAAAATTTCATAAAATATTTGCAATATTGCGATTGTTCAAGATATTTTTTCACAAAAAATTCAATAATAGTGAATTAATTAATAGAATAAAAGTGCTGGTGACAATAAATTGATGTAAATGAATGAACAAACGCGTAATGATTTACAGAAATAGATTTTGGGTCACAAAAAATGTACTTGTTACGTAGTGATAGGAATTGAATTTTCCCAATGTCTCAAAATTTCAAAATGTTGATTCTCCCTGCGGGCAATTGACCGCAAGATCAATTAACACCTTGTAATTAATTCCAGGGCCGATAACAGAAGCAACCAAAATCAATTTCGTTAAATTCCGACATTAGTTAGGAACTGATGAATAATTTGATCTCAAGGGTGTCGTTTGAAATAATTTTCAACATTTGTCGCTGAATATTTCAGTCAGAGCTTGGGTACAAGCCCCTTTTGACTCCAGGGTACTGCAAAATTTTGTAATGATTTTATCTATTATGTCGATTCTATTTTGTTCAATGGAAGTATTCAATAGAAAATATTTTACGGAATTCATTCCATTGAGATATTTTCTGTAGAAATTTCTTGAGCTTTTGTGCGTGATTTTTTCAATGAAAAGCATTTTTCCACAGAAAAATGCTTCGGTTTTCTCGTTGTTGTTTTCGTGCGCGTCAATGTACTATTCCCTACAAAAAAAGAATGGACGAAGAACTAATAGAAATTTACTAGGACTTCAACAGAAGTCCAACAGAACTGTCTACCGTATTGCCAAAATTTTTCTATAATTTTTTTTCGCGCGTATCGATATACAATCCCCAATCGATGAATTCCTCAGAAGTCTGGTTTAATCAACCGGGCACTGAAAAATCGTCGGGGGGGGCCCACGAGGCATCGCTCGTCCAATGATGCTCGAGAGAGTGCGAAAACCGAGTAAAGGCCGGCCGGTTGTTCCAGGACGGTCGGGGGCTCTCTTCTTGAGCGTTAGGTAGTAGCAAAAGGGTCGACGGGGTTACGGTGCGACTGCATTACTATAAAACGAGTCGTTGTTATACCGTCGCCCGTTAAATCGATCTTCCCTCTCAAATGTGCCGCACGGAATCACTCCGAAACGGAGCGATCGATTGCTCAATCACCATCGGCTCTTCCGTGTGTCAATTAATTAAAATTAAAATTTAAAAAATTAAAATTTGAAAAATCGAAATTTGCAAAATTAATTCAACTTTTTCCCCTCATTGTAAACTGCGCGAATATTTTTATCGTCGATATTTCATCTCGTGTCACTTTCACTCAAATGTAATTAGGGATTTTCCCGCTGCGATCAGAGGAGTTCAGTGCATTTGTGATAATCCGATATTGGCCAGTGATATTTTCGTTACGTCTTAAAACCGGTGTGTGCAGATCACTTGGAAACGAAAAATCGGTGGAACGGGCGCACTGCGTTTAAGGTGAGATAACACTTTAATATTTCATTCCAACGTAATCGTTATGTCTTCGGTATTACGTTATGATATTTTTTTTATTACTTTGTGATGAAAGGGGGAGTTGACGGGTGCCGGAGTCACGTCAAACTTGTTCGAAATAGCTTTTGTGATTTATCAAGTATAAGTGATACGCGAAAATACCGCAGTCGGTTTTGGTTCCCCTTGTTTTTAGTTAACGTTGTGGAGTTGTTTACTGGGAAAATTTGTTTTCGAAAATTTTGCGGCCCGTTTGACAGATATCTGACGGGAAAATGAAAAATTTATAATTAAGAGTTTTTTGGAAAATTGAAATTCAGTCATTTTGTTCTAGCAACGATCCGGTCAAAAATTGTATAATTTCCAATGTAATTCCCAACTTGAACAGATTTTTCTATTCAATTTTTTTTAACGGGAAGAGATAAGAAGATACAATTTATATTTAAATTCAACTAAAGAGAATGGAGATAAATAATCGATTAGCTGAATCGTTTTTTAAAACGTTAAATTCATCAGAATAAAGTATTTATTTTTGCGAAATATATTTTAAATTGAGAAAAATTGAAAAATTCTCGTGAAGAAAGTTCCTATGAATGGATTTAGTGAATGAGTTCCTGAATGGATTCAATTCCTCGGGACATTGACTCTTCAAACTACTTGATTTTATTAATTCATTAATTCATTCATTTCATCTAGCAGAGATTCTGTTCAAAAATTACATGGAAAATTCTACAATTTCCAATAGATCCCCAATCGATTTTTCTAGTCAATTTTTTCAAACGTGAAGAAATGAGAAGTATAAGCAATATTAACTTCCCGACCCGAAGGAAGTTATTTATACTTCAATTTAGCTGAGAAAAATTGAAAAATTCTCGTGAATAAATTTCCTATGACTGTATTTAGTGAATGAGTTCCTGAATGCGTTCAATTCCTTGGGACATTGACTCTTGAACTCACGATAAAATGAAAACACAAACAGATTGTGTGTAAACAGCCACCTAAACGTGTTCCAAACATCGAGTAACCGAAAATTCATCTCTAAATTAAACGGGCGTTACGGTATGCGGGGAATTATGCATGACAGGTACCAGAGCCCCTACAGAATCATCAGAATCCCCCAGAAGTCGCGATTTCATCGAATGCACACGTCAACGTGTGTCCACCGCTTCCGATAATGCATCATGTTGAAGTGTGCAAACATTAGAGATAACCTGGGCCATGATTTCACTCCCCCCTGGCCTAGAGCCGAATAAATTACGGTTTAATTGAGACTTCAAACACTGAACTCTTCCTTTATTTTCAGAAGCATTTTGAACTACGGGAAGTGATCGGTCATGAAGACATCGGCGCAACTGCAGCAGTACAAGAGTGAGTGCGAATTATTCGATTAGGAAATAGTCTATTGCAGTTCGGTTTAATAAATAAAAATTTAAGAATAATTCAATTATGATCATCAATTAACAATAATGAAACAGGATTCGTTGAACAAAACTAAGGAATTCTTCATTCAACGACTGACAAAATAAAAAATTATCAATGATTTTTTCATTATTTAAATAAGAAATTTATAGGAATGAAAAAAAAAATTATACTTCTTTTTTTTCTTGAATACAAAAATCGTGAAGACATTTTTATTCATGATTTTGTCAAAGAAGAATCAATTTTTTTCAAATCTGGACACAATGAAAGTTATCAACTTCAACTTCATTTTTTTTTGAATAAATTCATATTTTTTAATCAATAAATGAATGCATAACGATCATAAATAGGATGCATGAACCCCTGGCTTTTTTAAATTATTATTTTAATGGATATTTTAAATAATTAATTAATATTATTATTATTAACTAATTAATAAATATTCTAAATAATTACGATTACTAATTAATTAAGAACATTTGTTCTTCACTGAATAGTCATCCAATCAATACAATTATCCTCTTGTCAACTTCATGATCTCAAATAATATATTGACGTCACAAACGCATCGCTCATACCGTCAATGGACGGTCCATTAAGTATACAGAATAAATTCAATTAATTATACAGAAACGCGAGCGTGTGAAGAAGAAATGCCTCGATGAAAACCGCGTAATAAAGCACTCACGCGAATTATGAATAATTAACGAAAAAAATGGAACTGATCGAAAAAGGGAGGTAAAAAATTGAAGAGAGGAGAATAATGAAATGCGCGTCACACGTGTGCAAATAGAGTTAACGAGTCGGACTAGCGGTGTGAAAAAAACGGCCATTTTTTTTTTGACAATTTGAGATGTACCGCAGTATTTCCGTTATTTAAATGAGATGTGACGATCGCATCGGAAGCTATGTCATGAAGGATCGAGTAGTTTGACATTTTTACTGTTATTTAGAACATGATTTATGTCCCAAAAAAGGACGTAATCGAGGAGTTTAATCAAAAAATTTTATCAAATCAAAGGACTATGGAGCGTTGATGAACGTTTTTTTATTGACGATCACTCGATAATGACTAATTACTCATGTGACGACAATATTGTAAAGGAAAAATCCATAGATTTGCATACAACTTATTCCATTCAATTCCATTCAATTTTTAAAAATCCGATTTTCTAATAAGAGAAGAAAGAAAAATATTCTACCGATATCTATTGATTCATTTCATATAATATTTCGCCTGAATATTTATTCAACATGAAAAATTACAATTTTATTAATTGATTTATTTTTCTTCCTCATTTTTATATTTATTCATTTCCGATTCATTGAATATTCTCTATAAAAAAACGAAGGGCTGAGGAATTTTCAACCTTCGACATTGACCTCCCCCGATGAAAGATCAATCAGCCGACCAATTAAATTAATTGGCTAATCCCCGAAAAAATCCCATCTCTCACCTATCCTCTCACCAACCTCCTAATTACCAAGGCCGGTCATCGCTTCCCTCGTCCAACAATCCATCACCACCATCTCCCTGCATCTGAACATTCTCACTCCCTGAAGCATCACTGAACCCATCGATGATTTCCAAGCATTTACCACGCGATGACAACAACTGCAATCATTGTCTCATCAGCCATGTCTTCAATCCTTTTTTCTTCGATCCTTCACGATCGCGTGTCCATCAGGAATTTATTGGAAACTGAATGTGAGCCAAGGTAGTCATGAATGTGGGACACAGGTGGTAGATTCATTCATGGAAATTACTCCCATTAACTCGTTCATCTTTGATGAAAGAAAAATTGCAGATGAATGAAGTTTAGAGTTCAAGTTTTATTGTGGAATCAGCTGATTTAACTCATTCATTGAATTTTTATAACTCATGCAACGGATGAGTTACGAATGAGAAAAGGCTCTTGACATTTCAGTCCAGAAGATAACGATTCAATTGAAATAATTAAAATGAAAATTAATTGAAATTAAAACCTCGAATTTTATTCCTGTAATAAAAAATCAAATGTAACTCTTTCTTAAAACCAATCTATTCCGCCTGACGTTTTTCTTTCCTTAACCCATGAAATTTGTATTATAGTATCGTGTCATAAAAAAAATGAAAAAAGAAAATTCTAAAAACAATGAAAATCATGTAATTAAATTGATTTTTCCACTACAAATATAAATTTATATATATAAATAATAATAATGAAATAAATAAAAATTGAATATTAAATTAAATAATAATTTATATACATTTATATTACGCCCTAAATAAAACAAACTTGACGTATAAAAAAATTGTACGAGTTCACAGCGATACCACTTTTTTTATTTCTAATTATCCAATCATTATTCCTCGAATAAAAATCTAACCGGTCCCATCAATTCCCGAGCCACGTAATGTACAGAATACGCACGCAGTCTAAACTAGTGTAAATTAGAAAAATCCGCGGAATGAATGTGGAATTGGAGTTTGACAGTGACATTATCTCCCCCGTTAAATAATTTTTTGCCAGCAAACAAGAGGATTCTATCAAACTGACAGTTACAATTGCCCTCGGTGCAACGAACTCAATTTTAATTTTCTCCTCGGCAATTCTCTTATCGCCAACTGGTGAACTTGGCATTAACGCTTCTTTCAAAATATCCACAGCGTTTGTCACCGCAAAAACGATTGATGTTTCAGAATGCATCATTCTATTCATGGTTGGTGTGATCAGCAGTGCTCTTGCCTACGCACTTTATGCCGTTGATCCCGCAAAATTGATATTTGAATATGTGAGTACTGCTGCCGATCACGGACGAAAAAATTTAATAGAAAAACCTATCGAATTCGTTAGAAAATTCTATTGAATTTCTATTGAACTGTTCTATTAGTTTTCGGCCGATTCTATTGAAATGTTCAATAGAAAATATTCAGTAGAAAAAGTCAATAGAATTCAATTTTTCTATACAACTTATTCTATTGAGATATTTTCTATAGAATTTCCTCGGCTCAAATTTTCCAAGTTTTTTCGTTTGATTTTCTTGATGAGAAGAGAAGAAAAATAGAATGAAAAAAAATAGAAAATTTGAGTTGAGCAAATTCTATAGAAAATAGATGAAAAGAATAAGTTATATAGAAAAATCGAATTCTGTTGACTTTGTCTATTGAATGTTTTCTATTGAACATGTCAACAGAGTCAGCCAAAAACTAATAGAAAGTTTAATAGAAATTCAATAGAATTTTCTAACGAATTCGATAGGTTTTTCTACTAAATTTTTTCTTGCGTGATAATTGGCATTTTTTAATCACTTCTGCTCCATTGAACGCAATTAACTTAATCAGGGTAATTGTTATTTGTTTTCGGTTAGAAATTGACCATGACCCCTACGTCAACCGTCTATCTCATGTGGAAGAAGCCACCGATTAAAGTTTACATCAAAGTTTATGTATTCAATATAACGAATCCGGAGGCCTTTCTCGGGGGAGAGGAGAAACTGAGAGTCCAGGAAGTTGGACCCTATGTTTATCAGTATGTATGAGACACTGAAAATATTCACGTGTGAAAAATTTTCATGGAAAAACCTAGCGAATTCGCTAGACAATTCGATTGATTTTTTATTGAACTTTCTATTATTTTTTGGCTAATTCTATGGAAATATTCAATGGAAAATATTCTGTTGAATGAGTCAGTATTTTAGTTTTTTGTTTCATTTTCTTATGAAGAAAAATGAAAAACAGAATTAAAAAACTTGGAAATTCTTTAGGAAATATTTCAATAGAATAAATTGCATGGAAAAATCGAATCGAATATTTTCTATAGAATTTTTGTTTTATTTTTTTGATGGAAAAAAATGAAAAACAGAATAAAAAATTTAGAAATTGTTTAGGAAATATTTCAATAGAATAAATTGCGTATAAAAATCGAATCGAATATTTTCTATAAAATTTTTGTTATATTTCAGTTTTTTAAAAATTTTCTTGATGAAGAGAAATGAAAAACAGAGTAAAAAAACTTGGAAATTGTTTAGAAAATATTTCAATAGAATAAATTGCGTAGAAAAATCGAATTCCATTGATTTTTCCAATAGATTATTTTCCATCGAACATTTCTACTGGAATAAACGCGCAGACAAGCTGCGGATTTTTTCATCAGAATGAGCGAAAAACTAATAGAATATTCAATGGGAATCAAATAAAATTTCCAAGTTAATGCATTAGATTTTTTAGTGAATTTTTTCATACGTTGCGTCAATCATGACCTTTGAATTGCATTGTCCAGGGAAGTTTTGGAACACACGAAAGTCATATGGCACGACAATGGAACGATTTCTTATACGCCCAAGCGCACGGTCTTCTTCGTCCCCGAAAAGTCCCCGGGAAATCCTGTGGATGATATCGTTACTGTTCCCAATGTTCCGATGTTGGTGAGTTTATGAAACTGTTTGAAATTATCTCGATATATTAATAACGCATTTAATTGTTTTCTAATTAATTACGCTTACGCGTATTTATTCAGATGCCATAAAAATTGAATAGAAAAATTCAGTGAAATATTTTTGATTTTTCTTATTCTCATAGAAATTCATCTTCAGTTTTCTAAATCAAAATCAAAAACGAAGTGAATAAAATTTGCAAAATTTGTGCTCATGAATTTTAAAACAAAAATCTAATAACTTTCTTCATGAAATTTTTCCACGCGTCACAGTTGTTGCTAAAATCTTCAAAATTCGCTGTTAAAATCACGAATTCCCAAATTAAATCAATAATAATTTTTTAATGACATAAAAAAAATTAATAACAATAATAATAATTATTATAAAATAAATATTAACTACTGTATTAGTATTTTTATTATTTTTAAATTATTAATAATTTTTTTAATGATTAATAAAAAAAATAAATAAGTCATTGAGAAAATCAAAAAGTTTAGAAGACCTGTTTAAATGTCTAATTTCTAATTTGAAATGTAAAATTTGTTGAAAAATTATGATTAAATTATGAAAATCGATCGAGTGAGATGCCAAATTATCCGCAGGGTGTCTCATCAGCGGTCTACGATCAAGGATTCATCGTAAACTATCCTCTGGCACAGCTTGCACACGCACTGAACAGCAAACCAATTCTAAACATGTCTGTCTACGAGTACCTATGGGGATACGAGGATTCCTTAGTGCGTTTGGCATCTGGAATTGTCCCCAATTTCATCAACTTTCGTAAATTCGGATTGCTCGATAGGGTAAGTTCAGCACTTATCACCATTTCTCATTGAACCGGTAGCCAAGTGGCAATCCCAATTATGCGGTCTAAATAAATATGTCGACTCAACTATTGCAACAGTCCCGGTGCCTGTGTTGTCTCAGGTTTGCTGCCCGCTGGATCCTTTCACTCAATCCACCGGAACGGTTTTGCAATCATCGGGTGAAAAACAAAGTGGAATTAATGGATTGGTGATAATGGGAAAATATTAATTCAGCGGATGAGGCGTGCAAGGAGAGAACTCCATTTGAGGATCTGTTTTTCATTGATGATTTTTAAACGACAGTCGATGGGAAAATTTTTCTCATCAACTTTTTGGGATAAATGAGAGATTGAAAAAGGGCTTGAGAAAAAATTTAGCGAAAAAAAACTGCACAATTTAAAACAAATTAATTCATCTTCTTGAATTATTTCCTGAAAATTCTTATCGGACTCTGATGAAATTCCCTCAAAACTTGAGATTTTCACGAACGTTTATTGAAATTTTAATGGATTCTATTGAATTATTCATTTTTCCTCAACTTTCCGGCAAAAAATAATTTTTACCAATTGCAAAAAGTATTTTTCAACAGCTTGTTTTTATGTCAGATGTACGACGAATTTAAAACAAATTAATTAATCTTTTTGGGATAAATGAGAGATTGAAAAAGGGCGTGAGAAAAAATTTAGCGAAAAAAAAAATTGCACAATTTAAAACAAATTAATTCATCTTCTTGAATTATTTCCTGAAAATTCTTATCGGACTCTGATGAAATTCCCTCAAAACCTGAGATTTTCACGAAAGTTTATTCAAATTTTAATGGATTGAACTCATATCGAATTTATATTCATTTTTCGTCAACTTTCCGGCAAAAAATAATTTTTACCAATTGCACAAAGTATTTTACAACTTGTTTTTATGTCAGATGTACGACGAAGGCGAGAATGTCGTCAACATGAACATTCGGAAAAGCGAGAACATGATGGAGGAGGAGGGCCGATACCTCAGCATTGAGACGTACAATGGCAGTCCTGGTCTCGCTCACTGGGGGTACACAGAGCCCGAAGCCAACGAGACGGTACCCGGGTGAGTTCATTGACATCAGATCAGCTCTGGGGAATTTTTCGTGCGAAAACGATTCATTGGATTAGAAGATCTTTGGCCCCAGGGGTCTATCAACGTATTGACACTGAGCAGAAACCTCATCTGAATAAATTCTACGGAAAAATATCCATTGAATAGTAATTCAGTAGCGAAGCGGTAAACCGGTTCAAATCGATTATGACTATTGACCAGTGTTCAACGAATATCTCGAAATCTGGGGGAGATGGCAAAATTTTTGTTATGTCCTTTTTTGTAGAGCGAATTGAGGGCCACAAAAAAGGTCATTACAAAAATTTCATTATCTCCCTTAGATTCCGAGATTTTCATCGTTTTACCGCTTCGCTACTGAATTTAATAATGTCCAGCCCAGTTGGATAATTTTTAATAGAACTTTCGAAGAAAATTGACTTTTTAAATTGAAGTCTGGTGGAACTGCAATCGAATTCTCGAGTTCAGATTGAAATTGAATAGAATTTTTTAGAGAAACCGCAATTGAAGTCGTCAAATTTCCAAAGGAAAATTGAAAAAAAAAGAATAGTGTTCACATTCTCCCATTACATTAACATTAAAAAAAAAACTCAGTGTTTGGCATAAAATCCACTCATCCATAATCAGAAATTCCCCATTCAAACATCATTTTACACAATTTAACCTTTTTTAATAATAATACTTCACAAATCAGTAGCGAAGTGGTAAACTGGTTTAAGTCGACTTATCTCCCAGTTGAGTTTTTGAGGAATATTTCCGAATCTAACGGAGATGGCGAAATTTTCGTAACTACATTTGTTACAGCTCTCAATCGGCTCCACAAAAAAGGTTATAATAAAAATGTTGCCATCTCCCTTAGATTCCGAGATATTTATTAAAAACTAGTCAATAGTCAAAATTGACTTATACCGTTTTACCACTTCGCTACTGAAATAAATAATCAATAAAATAAACTGCATTGTTCCGACTAAAAAAGCGAAAATCTGTTCACCAGTGGAATATCGCTCGACTAATTCTCGTGACTTCTGAATTTTCTTCGCCCCTATTAATTATTTTTCTCTGTTTATTGAATCGTTTCATAATGATCCACTCGAGATCATTAATTCAAGTGCGCGCCGACTGTTGCAGTAATACCGTCTGCAATCAGATTCAAGGAGCAACGGAGGGCACTCTATTCCCAACGAATATCGAGAAAGACGTTGTGTTCAGGGTCTTCAGGAAGGCTTTCTGCCGCGTCCTGCCGATTGTATTCAAGAACGAGACGTACGAGGAGGGATTGCGCGTTTTCGAGTACAAATTCGCTGATGATTTTCTGGATCCACCCGAGATGAACTCGGACAATGAGTGCTATTGCAGGAAAATGCAGACGTGTTTGAAGAGGGGACTCTCGGATCTGACTCCGTGCTATTACAGTGAGCATTAATGGTCCACTGATTTATCGATTATTAATCAAATGAAGTGATAAATTTTTTCAATTTAAGGTTTATTTTTTGTGATTGTGCATAATTAGCGAAAATGAATGCATTCGACTTTGAAATTGAAGAAATAATGTCTTGATATTCCCTCGTAAAATTGGTAATTACCGAGATGCTGATGACGGTAATGGGCAATTAAAAATGGTTAATTATCTCGATAATGAGTGATTTTCGAATGAGATGTGAAGAAACGCTGGATAAAAAATTCTAGTGGAATTCCATTCGTGTTTCTGATTTGTATAGGAAATTATATGACTTTTCTAGAAAATTTTCGATAGGAGGAAAAGTCCAAAGGTCGTGGCTTGTAATTTATTGCTTTGGGATTTTCCATCGGAATTCTTAAGCATAAATTCTTCAATTTTTTTGTTCTTACATCTTGTAATGAAAAATGGGACTAGAAATGCAGAGGAAAGAAGACTGAAATTTCCAACAGAAAAAGGCAAAATACGAAAAGATTCCCGATAGAATTAAAAAATAATGAGAAATGTCTTGAGATTCCAAGAAAAAAAAAACAATCAAGAATTCTCATAGAAAAAACCCCGTTTATATCCTATTTTCCACGATAAAATATCGATTGAAAAACCTAAAACGTGAAAGTCACATGACCTAAAATAATTGGCGTAAAATATTCCAAAAGAATTCTTATGGACTTTTTGATGTCATTTTTCTAAATGTCATCCTCTTATGAATTAATCTCTGACTGTAATTTCCATAATTCTCACTCACATTCTCCCAATTCTCAGATATCCCCGCAGCCGTCTCACTGCCCCACTTCTTGGACGCTGATCCAAGCCTACTCGATGGGGTCGTGGGGCTCAAACCAGAGCCCGAGAAGCACCGCACCAGAATTTTCATCCAACCGGTGAGAAATATGCAATTTCCCCCCTTATGCAATTTCCCTCGTCGTGACGTTCCACCACGAGACACTGGGACTATCCAAAAAACAAAAAAAAACAACAGTAAAATTTCCCTGAAAGTGAATTACCAACAAATTCATTCTTTAATGCGCATGAAAAAAGTTTTACAAATGCCATTTTACCGAAATTTAAATATAATATAGATAACATCATTCCTTCATTCGACTTATGCAAGAAATTTAACAAGAAATCTAGCGCAATTTACTGGAGAAGAAATATAATTCAGTTTGAACATAATATAATTGAACAAAATAATACAAAACGATAAATGTCTTTATGACATAAAATAAATAAAAGACCTCGCGATGTGCAAAACATTCGAAAATGTGAAGGAACTCGAGAAAACGCGTGGGACGTTCGATGAGAAAGATTCCAGGAATCAATGAATCAATCATTATATAAGCCTTATTTTTTAATTTTAGGACGTAGGAGCCCCGATCCACGTCAACTCCAGGATTCAGACGAATCTAGTGATGCAACACACTGTATATAATCCAAGAATCAAAGCTTTTAATGGTCTCGTCGTCCCACTTTTTTGGTCAGATCTGGTATGTTGGAATCGTTGTTTCTAGATTTTCACTCGTTATTATTGACAAATGATTATGCAACTTTTACCCGACTTGAGAGATATATTTAGATCGAAGATTCAAGGTTGTGAACTACACGCGTACTGTAGTTCGAATTAAATAAACTTGACAATTATTTAATTTAGTTATAATTTAGTTATAATAATGCAATTAAATTTGTAGTCTTCACATCTCAATTTCTGATATGTATTCTATTCATTCTATCAAAAGACAAGAACAGAAATCGAATTTATGGGTATTCTTCTGTGATTGGATGAAATATGTCGAGAGAGAGGTTCGAGGGACCGTTTTGTATTGCGCGTTTTTTCCCCCAGAATTTTCCCAAAATTTCTTAATTTTTAGTATGTGCTTTTTTTTCTTTTTTTTCGTTAACGTCTTGTGTTGCTTAAATCTTTTTGTTGGAAATTGAATTTTTGCTAATTTACGGCAAAGTATAATAATTCCAGTTCATTCAATGTTGTAACTTGTAAATTAAGGAAAATATATTGTATAATAAGAATCAGAAGGGATAAAATTAAATGAATCTAATTATGAAGAGGCAGAAATAAAGTAAAATAGTATAAATTATTCTAGCCACGGGTGAGAAGCGTCAAGATGATTAAAAAATTATGATGATTAATTTTGATACTAATTCTTATTGAATAATTTAGAAAACAACGCATTTAGAATAATGAACAACTGCACAATCATGAATTTTTAATAGAATAATTTAAGAATTACTCATTTTCTCACATTTCCCACAACAACTTCTAAACTATTCTTCAATATTTATTCCACAGGAGATATCGAAAGAAGGGAACGACCTCATCCCAATAATGCATCTCCTGCTGGTGGTAGCACCAATCGCTCAAACAACTCTGACGTACATTCTCGCTATCGCCGGGATAACGACATTCATATTATCACTAGTTGGCACCCTGTGGATGTTGAATCAAACGGAGGAGTATCATGACGAGATGAGAGACAGTGTAGATCTCCGGATGCCCCTTGGGATGGGTCAATACACTGCGATTCACATTCTCCCGGCGATTAAAAAAATAACATCCAAAACGGATCTTTTTGGATAATAATTGGAGAAACTTTGTGATTTTTTTTGCATTAGAAACGAGTGTACGTAACGAGGTGCTGCCAGACACAGAAGTACTTACGCATGAACAAAATTTAATGGGAAAACCCAGTGCTGAATAATTCTCTTGGATTTTTTTTTCGAAGTTCAAAAAAAAATTTGCTAAAAATATCTTAGAAAACAATAATATATTTTTGCCTTTCTGTACAACTTATTCTATTGAAATATTTTGTGCTGGATATTTCTTAACTCCAACGGATGGAAAAGATAGAAAAGGTTTGCAAAAAAATATTTTCTGGAGGAAATCCTCAACATTTTTTTTTCCACTGTAATTTTGCATTCTCTTGATAATTTATATTGAAAAATTGAATGGAAAGGGAAGATGTTTTATAGAAGAATTCAGTGGGTTTCAATCGTTCTGTACAATTTATTCTATTTTATTCTATTTTCTAGGGAAGTTTCTCAACATGAATATTTCAAGTTTTTTCCGCTATAATTCTTCTCTCTTATCACGAAATTCAAGTAAAAGAAGTGGGAAAATTTGAGCCGAAGCATTTTCTTGAAAAGAATTTGTTGTTTCTCGACATAAAAAATTGAATAGAGAAATGAAAAAAAAAATATTTTTCTTCACAATATTTTCGGTTGAAGATTCAAATTGAAAATCCAATAGAATTGCCTGGAAAATGCGCTGGGGTTTTCACTGCATTTGTTCGCACATCTCCCGTGACACCTGTCCATAGTTAACTTATGATCAACTGCGGATTATCGACAATGTCAAATGTAATTGTTCAATAACAGTAGAAGTGAGTAATCAACGTTCATGGAACAGATCAAAGTATAAGACTGATTGGGACAAAAATGTCTGTTAATAGATAAAATGTCAGATTAGAAATGACCTAATTCATTTTAAGTGAGGAATGAGTAGTGGCAATGAGACGTGCCATTGTCGATTCCATAATTTTAACTCTGTTTGACACATCAATTATTTAATTCGAATTATTATCTTGAAATTAGTCAAGTATTATAATTATTACTGCTCAAATATTGTAATTAGGGGATCTCGTTGAATGTCAAATCTCAGTTTTGAGGGATTTAAAGATTAAGTTGTTCGTAATAAAATTGTTTTCATAATTTCGTCAATTGTTCATTATTCGTTTGAAGTTTTTAAAATCATTTTTTAAATTGTGGGTGAGAGGGAAATATGCATATGCATACATGTACCGATGGGAATTCCGAGTTATCGATAAGCCAGTTCTCTTGGGTTTTTGCACAGCTTCGATAAATGAACAACAGAGACCAGGACTATGTGTGGAATCAGTTGAAAATGGCGTGCTAGGACCTCTAAAGATGGTTTAGAACCAGGGGAGACTCCTAGACGTCAATGTTCTATACATACTCCTAGACCCCATTGTCCTCCTAGACAATGATGTCACAACTCTCCTTTTCAATTGAAAACAGATATCAGCTTTAGAGACATTTGTCATGTTTAGAGGCTCTAGCACGTCATTTCTCGACCCGCTCTTTC